GGCCGCGACCAATAGGAATTAAACTATCTACATCTCTTGAACTATCCATAATTGAATCAAATTAACCAATTTATATACAAAAAGCAGCTTAATGTAAAAGATACTATTTTTTAACTAAACGGTCATAACGATATTGTGGTAAGTTGATCCGAGCTACTACAAATAAAACAACAACAAAAAATACTTTTATACTAAACCAAGTAAAAAGGACCAAAACATCTTCACTCTGCATTTTGTGCTAATAAACCTTTTGCCTTAACGGTTAAGCGTATATGTCGTGGCTTGAAAACTCTTTATCGGTAATTATTTCGGGTCCCAAAGTACAGTACATGGAGAAGTAAAAAGTGCTACTTCATTTAAGCGTCAAAAGAGTTACGGTATTAGAGGTTACCGGTTACGATACTCTGTATCGTTTACGGGTAGTTGAAACCAATTCGATCACGCGTATGACGAGCAGACACGTAGGATGAGGAGACGCGTAGGATGAAGAGACGTTTGACATGACTTATATGTGATTTACATGCAGATCATGTAGCAAGCAGATTAAGCTACGACAAATGAATCACTTCCAGAAATCCTCTCTTCCGCTCAAGTCGTTCAGTCTCCACTCAAGTGCAGACTTCTTCGGCTTTTAAGCTTCTCTTCTTCTCTTCGCCTCGCTTGGTTGCACTTTACGTGCTCATTCCCTAACAGGTCATGAGCCCAAGCACCAAGTCCTCTGGCCAAGACGCAACGACAAACTTTCCATTGACAAGCTCAGTGGGGACAGCCATGCAACATGGAACCGATACATGCCTGGCGTGCTCCTTGTCAAGCGACACGTGGCCAACCGGGAAACCACTTCAAACTCACGGACCCTCGCATCTTCGATGAGTACGTCAGGAGAAGCAACGCCGCTTTTGTCCTGATGTTGCGGCACATGGATGCAGACTACCATCACGTGGTCGACAAGGCGAGGAAGCGTGGGTAACATGGGCTCGGTTAAAGACAGCGGATCGCAGAAGGCTGGATTTATATCAAGCTCCAGCTCTTCAGCATGGAGATGGTAGAAGGTGCCAACGTATTGCATCGCTGCAATGAAGCCATGAACATCAGTGCCAAGCTTCGCAGCATCGGGGCCAAGATGGAATACGAAGATGTGGCGATCTGCTTGTTGCGCAGTCTCCACGAAAATGTCGTTCTAAATCTGGAGATAATCAGCGCGCAATTGCGTACGCAAGACGCTGTGAAGGTGCTCACGAATGAGCATATCAAGAGGAAATGTGAGAAGACGGCATTGGTGAAGTTGAAGAATCAAGTAAGGCCTTTAGCACCGAGTATAAGGATCGCCAGTGTACCTTTTGCAGAAAATTGGGGCACACGATGGAGCGGTGCTGGACCAAGCAAAAGGAGGAAAACCGAGGAGCTCGACGCGGCGCGGATTGCTCGCGGACGCGGAGCCAATTAAGTCCAGTGGCATGGTTATATGAACAACTATGAACATGATCGAGTGACGTTTGCTTTGTCACTAGAGTGTGGACTTTCGAAAGGCATAGGAATGTCTGGATGGTGGGCAACTGACAGTGGTCGTATGCTATGACAAGGTCAAGTTCAGAGATCTTAATGAGAATGATGAAGGTCGCAGATAGAGACAAGCCTGCGATCAAGGGTATCGGAATCATCGCTAAAAATGTGGTCCTATTCAACGGTGACGAATGTGAAATAAAGATTAAAAATGCACTCCTTGTACCAAGTATGAACAAGAATTTGCTGTCAATTCCGTAGATCAACAAGAGTGGGAAGGTTCAAGTGATTTTCAAAGGGACCAAGATGTACGTTACGTTCAAAGGGACCAGGCAAGTGGTGGTAGTGGCGAAGATTGTGGATGGGCTCTATTGGCTTTGACCTTCTCAATGTCTGCAAATGCTGCAATTCGGCAGCGAATTGAAGATCTTCACGCGCGCATGTGCCACGCGCCGGTCGACGTTCCTTGCAGAATGGTTGCCGATGACATGACCAAGAATGCCAAAATGCCGACGACGTCAAGAGGATCAAGTGTAAGCTATGTGTGTGAAGAAAAAATGGTTCAAAGACCATCTACAAGCAACTAAAACAAGCATCACTACGATTCATTCGAGCTTCTTCATGTTGACACTTGTGGCTTCATGAAAATCGACTTACTAGGCAGTAGCATATACTTCTCGTTGATGAAGGCAGTGGATGCATGAAAGGTTTTTCCATGCGTGCTAGGTCGGACATTGAAGCGTGTATCAAGAAGTACATCATGGCGTTTGAGACACAGTTCAACACGAAAGTCAAGTTCTTGCGACAGGATGGAGCTCGTGAAATTGCGATTACTTCACTTAAGTCGTTCTACGAAAAACAGAGGAATAGAGTAGCAAGTCACGGTCCCGTATGCGCGGCAGACCAACAGTAGAGCAGAACGCTTCATCCAAACCACCGTGACAATTGATCGTAGTATGCTTCACTACACCAAGTTGGACAAGTTTTTTTGGTTGAAGCGACCATGACAGCGATTACATTAAGAACCGCCTACCATCGCCGAAGTGCCACGATCAAAGTCCGCTTGAAATCGTCAATGGACACCAGCCAAGCGTGAAACACATGCGAGTCTATGGATGCCGCCCGTATGTACTGACCCCAAACAAAAACAATGTAAGTGAACCCCAAGGCTCGTTAAGGACTGTTCATGGGATACGAAGAAGTGTCGAAGGCATATCGAATCTATAATATCGAGGTGGGTAAAGTAGTGATTACTCGCGACGTCACATTTAATGAATCGAATTTCGGATTCTTGTCGGTGCTCCCACAAAAAAGCGTAGAAGACACTGCGCTGGGTTTTAATGCGCTAGACATCCGTTATAATCCTCGTCAAACTGAATTTAGGCAAACAGTAAGGCGCAAAAGTCGTCCCACTGATGATGATCAAGCCTCTCACAGCTCAATTCCTGCCTGTCGTGGAACTGGATTGGAAGAAGAAAGTGGGCCAGATGACTCCGTGGCGCATCAAGTAAAGCAACGCCTTAGGGCTCGAACTGATCTGGATGAAGATGGAAGCGACTCCACCCCCCCCTGTCTTTTGGCGAGAAAGTGATAATGCAGTCGAAGGAGTGACTTGTGTGAACCGACGACTTTTCAAGATGCTGTTGGTGGGCCGGATCAAGTTCAATGGCGTAAGGCGATACTTCGCGTGTATGGAATGAAACCCTCGACGAGTACGTAGGTTCCATCGGACTTCAAGTATCTGACTTCAATCCATGCCTCTACATCAAGGTTACCGACAGGCAGTGCGTACTTTACTAGTTTACGTGGATGATGTTCTGATTACCGGAGGCTCAATCGAACTGATTTCGCGTACTAAGAAAGACTTGAAGACGCGCTTCGAGATGACTGACAGCGGAAAATGTGCAGCTGTCTTGGGTATTGAGATGATGGACAGTGATGACAGCAGTATAATAATGTGTCAGCGACGCTTCGTGGATGATATTCTTTAGCGCTTTGGTATGAGTGACTGTAAGACTGTGATGTGCCCAGCGGATAGAAGCTCTCGACTTGTTACAAGCGGTGCAACAATCAAGATTAACGCTCCATTTCGTGAAGCAGTGGGCGATCATATGCATATGATGACCACGACACGACCGGATATTGCGCTTGTTGTTGGTTACGTTTCGTGCTTTATGGAGAGCCCAAAAGAAGCGGACTGGATAACGGTCAAGCAAATTCTATGCTACCTACAAGAAGAAAAGTCACTCAAAGTTTGCTTTAAGCCAGGTGACACGTTGGACTTTTGTGAATACTTTGACGCAGACTGGGCCGGCGATCATGTTGATCGCAAATCGACTTTCGACTACGCATTCGTATAATGGGTGCCCCTGTAAGTCGGGGAAGTAAGAAGCAGTCAAGTGTATTGCTGTCGACCAGCGAAGCCGAATATATCGCGCTGAGCTATGCTATTCAAGAAGGCAAGTGGGTGCATCGCTTGCTCTGCGAGATTTTGGCTGCTGCAATGAATACGTCCGAATGCGAGCTCAAGATCATGGAAGACAACCAATCTTGCATCAAGATGACGAAGAATCCCGGGCCAAGCCTATTGACATCTAGTATTACCACATCCGTGATGAAGTCAAGCGGGGTGGAGTCAAGTTGGAGTACTGCGAGACTTCGATCATGCTGGCGGACATCATGACCAAGGGGCTACCAGGATTGCATCGCAAGAACCTAACAAAGGCGTTCGGCATACTTGCGTGTTTGCATGGAGAGGGCGTATTGGAGGTTACCGGTTACGATACTCTGTATCGTTTACCGGGTAGCTGAAACCAATTCGATCACGCGTATGACGAGCAGACACGTAGGATGAGGAGACGCGTAGGATGAAGAGACGTTTGACATGACTTATATGTGATTTACATGCAGATCATGTAGCAAGCAGATTAAGCTACGACAAATGAATCACTTCCAGAAATCCTCTCTTCCGCTCAAGTCGTTCAGTCTCCACTCAAGTGCAGACTTCTTCGCCTTTTAAGCTTCTCTTCTTCTCTTCTCTATGCCTCGCTTCGTTTCGCTTCGCGTCCAAACATACGGGTATCCACCCTATTGTGTCGAGCGGAAGACGACCTTTCTAGAGTATGGCTTGCTGAACAATATTAAGCCACAAGGTTCGTGTCTTTTTTCCTTACCTAGCTACGTGTTTTATCGATTAAGTATTACAATGTATGAAGGAGACACAAATTGTACCAATGAAGGCAGAAACTAGACGCTTAGACAAAGAACCCCTTTGGTGCTGCGAATGCTCTATAATTTGTAAGTAGTAACTAAATAGTATAATTGAAAAATGACTGCACACGTTCTACCAAGTATAAGCCTAAGCATTTGTCATGCTTACAAACTGTAGTATCGGACAAAGTAGTAAGCGACAGAGGTGATGAGAAGGGCACAAAAAGGTGGCGAGGTCAACGACTTTACGTCAAAGTTGGGCCAAAACACCAACGTATCCAATGCCATCAGTACGATCCAGCCACCTTCGAGTGCGTCATGCACATACCTTGACGCTGCGACCACTTTTTGCAGCCAGCCACACAGCATTTCGTGCCACCACCATGTTTGCGGCACAAACGCTTCAAGTGAGCCTTCTTCTCGCATCCTTCTACGATGCATGGACGCCCACCACCGTGCAATTTGCATCGACCATGACTCTGTGATGCACGAGTACAGCCACTCTCCTGGCATCGTGATCCACCGCCGTGACGGATACACAGCCCGCGACTCTGAACGCTCTTCGTGCATCCTGGACTTGAACAGCGCTTCGATCCGCCGTGCCGTTTACACCGATTAAAGGCTCGAGCTTGACTCGTGCAGCCTTCTACACAGCACAACTTGCGTTTGTCTGGTGAAAACTTGGGCTCGTGAGTGGTAGCCATTTCCGTAAAAGGTTCTCTTAGCCCACCTTCTCGCTTAGGTCTTCCAAGCGGGGCAACCACGGGTGAATAATCGGGAGGGGTGCTGCCGACACTAGATTGAGTTGCATAACTGTCGATCGAAAGTGTTCGCATTGTCCGTGACGAGTTGTACGGCTCAGTAGGAGCCATTGACGAGCGAAACATACTCGACGACATATCGTGCGTCATGTTGCTGTCAAAATTCCCGTGCTGATCTTCGAATCCGGGTGGTAGCAGCAACTGTTGCTGTTGCTGTTGCTCCAGCGACCCAAAACTTGTTGGTAGTGTCGGCATTGGAGTGTGTGCACTATGAAGAGCTGGAATGCCTACAGCGAAGCATGAACACATATGAATTAGATTTGCATGTACAAAGTATCGCCACCTCTCTTACGCCTCGACTTGACGTCATATTTACCTTCAGGAAAGTAGTCCATCGATGTCGCAACTACCTGGGGCATTGACATTGGCGTTGACGGAAAAGATACTGGGCGTAGATAGTAACTGGCCGAATCTGCTGGGATGTCCGAGTACTGCGAATTGAGCTGCATCCCCAGTTGTCCACCGAACTGTTGTTGAGGTGGTGGTTGTAGTTCTTGCTGGTGGGACAGAGGTGATAGTAGCGATGGCAGACTTTGTGGCAGCGTGGCAGCATTGTAAGCCACCTTGAGACGAATAGAAGGACGGAAATTCCGTTGCCTCTTGCAGTTGTGGCATACTCAGCGAGCTCAGAGACTGGAACGTCATGCCGCCACCCCCTTCGATGCCAATCGTGCTCGGAACCTCTATCTTCAGTGACGAGGCCAATCGCTGTGGCTTCAACACGTGACAATCGCCATATTGGTCTGCATCGAGCGGGGTCTCTTGTTCTTTTTCTTCTTCGTCATCGAAGTGATACCAGGGCTGCAATTGTAGCGGATATGTGAGCTGTTGGCAGGAGCGTGGCTTGTTTGTCAACTCCATACTGGACGCGAAACCAGTGGCACAAGACGCGCTTTTCCCAGATTTCGACGTCGAGAACTAGATTAAAACGAGGGGGGAATTCTACCATTGTTCTTGTCGCTCAAGCACCTTTCTCATAAAAATGTTGTCGCTCAAGCACCTTTCTCATAAAAATGTTGTCGCTCAAGCACCTTTCTCATAAAACTGTTGACCACAAAAAGAGAATAATCGGTCAAATTGACAATTTCGGAGCGATGTATCGAGATTTGACATCAGTTACGATGGCTTCGCTGGTTGCTACTGGCGTTGTTCGGGATCGTAAAAACCGAAACACCCAGTACGTTCTTAACCTCCCACACCACGGTGATGACAATGTGCACGTAAGCAGCAAGGGAGAGGAAAAAGAACTCACGAACAATGAGCTCTTCGTTGATAGCGTCGTAGATACCTTCCAACATGCAAAACGCGCAGTGTCCAGCAACATAGAAGATCGGTACTAGCGTCTTGCGGAAGGGGTGGTACTCTTCCCCACACAAGTGAGCCAACATCAAGTGCAGCTGATCAGCAGGAACATCACAACGATAACAAAGAATGAGAAAAGCTATTACGTCAAACTGTTGCCCTGCACGTACCACCAGCTTGCTGTTCAACAGTCCCAGCATCCATAAAAACATTCGCGGGTGCGTCGAGAAAATGTCCGAGGGAGAGTACAAAGCCCACAACCCCGCTAGAGTGTTGAGAAAGATAAAAGGCAGAAGTCGCGTAAAAGCGACAAGAACCGAGTCTTGATTAAGGCGCACAGCTTGAAGTGTATTTCTCACACTGCCATCGCAAACAAAAACAGTTAGCCATCCTGTGAAGTTATGCAGTTACTACTGTAGTAGTGACAAAACGTACTTGACCAGAAGGGTACAGCATGAGGTGATTAGCATCGCAATCACGACCAGAGAGTTGTTTTGCACGCCTTCAATCAGCTCCTGGTTCCAGAAATCGATACCAACGAATGACGTGAACAGCTTCAGTGCAATGCCAAGGAGAATGCCTTCCGTCGGTCCGTTAAAAGCTGGAAGCTCTAGCGACCCTACATAGTACCTGCTCAGCAGCAACAATACCCCCCATCAGCATCTTCCTCGCCTATCAAGCCAATCCCACAGCACATCACGCCTACACCACTTACTCTTCCCACGTCGCAAAGATAAAGACAAAGTGACCACTCAGTACAAAGCCCAAAGTTTTCCACGTCGCTCCCATCTGCAGAATGCTTGCCATTGTCATGGTACCCACTGACACATTCAATGCATCGCACCCGTGATCAAACAGCAGCCCGAGCGGTGATGACGAATTGGTACGTCGCGCCTGTTTGCCGTCCAAATTGTCCAGCGTCTGATACGCGAACAACGCGGCCGCAGCGACTGCCATTGCCCACCAAGGGGCATCACCTTTTAGCAGAGGACATAGAAACACAAACAACGTGTGGGTGCCGCCTACAAGTATTAATCCAATAAGAGTGATGAGGTTTGGGGCGAGCCACAGTGGCAGTAGCTCCACGAGGAAGTTGTTCATGGGCATCAGCACGTGTTTGTACACGGGCGAGTTATCGGTCCCATGATACTCGTACGTGCGAAGCTTCTCGGATCCTTCCTGCGACACGTACTTGCCAAAGTACATGGATTTTCCATCCCCAATACTGCGGTGACGTACGCGTTGTTTAAGCGCATAAATCTGCGAAGTTTGGACAGTAGATGGGGACGACTCGGACGACAGTGTTTGTTTCGACATTTGGTACAAGATCTTGGGACTGCTAGAGCTTTGAGGAAAACAAAAGAGTGCATAAGATGGACAAGACGTAGGGCAATCAGATAAGCATTGAACGGGGTTCGTACGATGAAGAGGGAGAGGAGTTTCACACAGACGACGGGATGGCTACAGTCAAAGAGGAGACAAATGGGAGGAATTGTCTGGAGGGTGATTAACCTGAGATAAGTGATATAGTAGTATCCACTATTGGAATATCCGATCGATGCCATTGGTTGAAAAAAACGAGCGACGCTAGATGTACGCACAACATAAAATACCAGTCTGTTTGAAGGGTTAACGGTGTGTCCCACACCCACCAGCCACACCACGCACTTTGTCGCGTACAACGAAAACCTTCAAGATCACATACTCGAATATTCTGCTTTTATCACTTAATAACATCATGCAGCTTCGAGCTCGAGTGTCTTCTAATAGAGGCTCATCCACAAGACCTTGCTCGGATTCTCCATCGTCTCTTCAACCACAATGTCCTTCTTCTTCTTCTTCTTCTTCTTTGTCTCCAAATCACGTGACGATTAAAAAACGTCGTCTTTCAAAACGTGAAGAAAACGAAGCAGAAGACGCCAAGAAATGGCGATTTCATCTCTTACACGCGGCATTTGGTCCCGAGGATCACGTAAACGACTCCAATTGGCTCACGGGTTCATTTATTGACTTGATGCTATGGAAATTTGCCACGTTGTACCCGAATTTGTTCTTTTTATCCACTGCTTTTTACCATTTACACCTTGAGACAACAAATGTCCTGTCGTCTCCATGGCGACGTCGACGACGTCGAATCCATCGATCCATACGAGATTATCAGATACGTGACGTCTTGGGACGTCTTGTGGATTACACGAGTGATGCACCACTCGTGTTTATTGTGAACGTGGATCAGATCCATTGGAATTTGTTCCGGGTGCAGCTGAAACCAACTCCAGAGCTTCAATTGTTTGAACCAACTGGGAGATTAGCATTACGATCGGGGATTACGTACCGATCTGTACCACGGATAGTGATCGAGTGGCTTAATGTGTGCTATCCACAGCATAAAGGATGGCTCGAAAGAACAGTGAGTGCCATTACAAACAACCAACAAGTCAGTGGATTTGATTGTGGTGTAGCATGTTTACTGTATGCTGACAAGTGCGGACGCGGACAGAGTCGAGATGAAATCAACGAGGAGATTGATCAACAAGTTATTACGTCTTTCCGAAAGCAGTTACAATTACAACGTCGCACAAGTGATGACGAGGTCGATGCGTGAGGAATGGTAAAGGTGAGCGTTAGCTAGTGCTAAGTTTGATGAAGGAAGTGATTTCCTGCTCTAAAGCTGATTTCATTGTGTGGAAAATATAGGCTGTCTGCAGAGACACTAGGTCGTTACGCTTGCTTCAGCTTGCTTCGATATTTAATACCAGTCGTTGGTTTATCTATAATGAAACGGCGCGTGAATCGAGTCGTGGCTGATCCACATTTTGTACGTGTTCAGTCTGAGGGTGCAGTTTCTCCATAGTTGCAAAAGATTTGGATTGACAGCTTATGACATGCGGCACTTTTATCGATAAACCAAAGCAAGTTTTTGGTTTCGAAGCTGTTTCAAAGCTTTATTTTTAGCGGGGCTGTTAGCTTTGCGTTTAACAGGCTTCTCACCACCGGCAGACGCTTTCACGATAGACGTATGCGAGGTCCCAATATCGTTGATTGAGACGAACTGTGCATCACTTGCCCGTTTTTGGTTTCGACGACAGTTAAGAAAACGAGGTGGTACCGTACTTGACCGGTCCGTACATCAGCGTGGTGGCTGGGCATCAAAGGCTTGGACCCGCCGGTAGTTGTGCGCCAGATTCGATTTCTCTGCGCAAACCCAACGCAATATTTCGGATGATCTGCATCGATAATACTTTCGAGATCAGCTCGTCCGTAGGTAGCACAGGAAACTTGGATCCCCTAGCCAGTCTCTGTAATAACTCTACCTGCACCAGTCCGAGCAGGAAGAGAAGACTAAGCAGTAGTAGTCAGATCAGGATCAGGGGTCGAGATCCCATCGTTGTGCCAGGAACGACTGCTCAACCACTTCACCACCAGTACGAGTCGCGTTTGTCGGGAATCTCGGATGACAACGGATTCAGCTACGGCAAAGTTTTTCCTCATCGGACAGTCAAACGGTATGCCATCTCTTGTTTCGGTTGTCGCGCGTCTTGGTCTAAACTATCTCACCTTGTTTGAAACAGATCCAAGAACATCTACAGCGATCGTTTTATCCCGTCACGGCTCACCACAAAGCTAGATACTGGTTTTGGTCTTACAGCAGATTCACCGCGTCAATGCAGCAATCAAAACTACCATAAGGGTACAGGTCGACGTCAGGGTGGCTCCGGGTCAACTTCTGCACCTTCAGGCACTAGCTCCACGGTGAACGGCAGCCAAAAAGCCCAGGGAGCAAAGGATCGATCTTCATCACAGTACTCCATGATGCTGAAAAGAGAATTGTTCGGCATGCATTCACCAACGCGCACAGACTTTGGCGGTGGCCAATCTTCTGCTGCCTTGAGCGTGGCTAGTCATGATACTATGAGTGCACTGTATGACCCGAGATCGTCTTCGTGCGTTCGCACTTATGACGGCAGTACGGCGTGCAGACGACCGAGCAGCACTTCATCCAGCAATATTTTACGGTTCAAAGCTCTCCGACGATCGCTATACGGCGACGTGAAAACAGCTATCCCTCATTCGGGACTGACTGACTCTACACATCAGTATTGTGGTGCAGGTTTGCATGATGGAGAAAATGGTCGTCGACGCATTGCATGCACGCCTTTTAAAGTGCTGGATGCGCCATCGCTGCAGGATGATTTCTACCTGAATCTCGTAGACTGGTCGACCACAAACATTGTGGCAACAGGATTGAGCTCTTGTGTGTATCTCTGGAGTGCCTGCACCAGTAAAGTCACGATGCTGTGTAATCTTGGGCCTAACGATTCTGTCACCTCTGTTAGCTGGAGCCAGCGGGTATGTCTGCTCCTCTTATCACGCGTGAGTGCTTTGTGTTTCACTCTAATCATCTTCTTCTTTTACTTCTTTCAAGGGCACACATCTAGCAGTGGGAACAAACCGCGGCGAAGTGCAGATTTGGGACGTCAGCGCTGCCAAAAAGATCCGTACCATGACGTACGTGCTCGATGACTTTGCATTCGGCTGAACGTCGCTATCCAAATTGACGTTGTTGCCTTTGTTGCTTGAACAGCGGACATCTAGCTCGCGTTGGAATATTAGGCTGGAATGGCCAGTCGTTGGCATCTGGAAGTCGGGACCGCACCATTCTAATGCGTGATCTACGAACGCAAGAGCCATTCCAGAACAAATTAGCAGGTCACAAGCAGGAGGTGTGCGGCCTGAAATGGTCCTTTGATGGTCGGCAGCTAGCGTCAGGAGGCAACGACAACAAACTGCTGATTTGGAATGCGCAATCGATGTCCTCGGGTCTACACGGGGATGCCACGATGCCTTTGGCACGCTTTCACGAGCACTCAGCGGCTGTAAAAGCTATTGCGTGGTCGCCACACCAACACGGACTTTTGGCTTCCGGCGGTGGCACGGCCGACAGATGTATTCGCTTCTGGAACACACAGTCACTGACTGCATTGCCCTTCGTGGACACGGGTTCGCAGGTGTGTAACCTCATGTGGTCAAAGAATGCCAACGAGGTGGTGAGTACGCACGGCTACTCGCTGAACCAGATCATTGTCTGGAAGTATCCGACAATGACTAAGTTAGCCACGTTGACCGGGCACACGTTCCGCGTGCTTTACCTGGCCATGTCACCCGACGGCCAGACAATTGTTACAGGGGCAGGAGATAAAACTTTACGATTCTGGAACGCCTTCCCGCATACAAACGCTCAACGTGGAAGTCGCTTTGGGACAGACCAGATGCTACCGTTAAACGTTGGCAATGAAATCCGATAACGCTCAAGCTTACTACAGAAGACCCACATCTTGCAAAATGATGAGGACAATATCTAAACACTTTCTTTATTAGCCGTTCTCTAATTCCGCTTGCCTCTGCCGCCTCGGCCACCGCGTCCGCTACGTCCGCGACCTCCACCACCCCCCGACCTCCACTGCGACCCCCACCGCCGTGACCTCCTCTCTGTACACGACTTGCCGATTTGTATCGCTTTTCACCCTCTTTCTCCTTCTCATCCTCGTTCTCATCACGCGAATAACGTCCGCGCTTAGGACCTGTACCATTTGCAGCCGCCTCCTTCATCTCAATGGTAGCAATACGTTGCGCCTCATTGACTCGCTCCGACATGACCAACACTGTCTCCTCTTCGCAAGGATAAGTATCTAGCTTGGTGCCGAGCAGGTGTTCAATGCGCTGGTACAGTTCAACGTCATATTGAGTGACAAACGAGATGGCCACACCAGCTCGTCCAGCACGGGCCGTACGACCCACTCGATGAATGTAGTCCTTGCCGTGCGTCGGAATGTCGTAGTTGATGACCACATCAACACTCGGAATATCCAGTCCACGGGATGCCACGTCCGTACATACCAGCACATTTCTTGCCTTGGCCTTGAATTTGTTCAGAGATCCAAGACGACTCGGTTGAGGCATCTGACCATGCAGACAAATAGCCTGAAAGCCCAAGTTACGCAACATGAGTGTCACCTTTTGCGTGCCATTGCATGTACTAGTAAAGATGAGCACGGATTGGCCTGCCACCTCATTCAGCACATAGGCCAAGTAGCAGTCCTTAAACTTTGCCGGGATAAAGAGGTAGTGCTGCTTGAGCGTCTCGGGCGTCGCGAACTTGTGCGTGATCTCCACCTTGACTGGATCTTTAAGCGACGCTCGTTGCAACTTTCTCACCTTGGACGTCATGGTAGCACTAAACAGGTACGTATTCCGTTCGGTCGGCATAAGTTGCACAATCTGATTAATCTCTTCTTCAAAGTCCATACTCAGCATCCGATCCGCTTCGTCAAGCACCAAGAATTTCACTGTGCGAAGACTAAAACCTTTTGTGTTCTCCAAGTGGTCCACAAGACGTCCAGGAGTCGCAATTACTACATGAGGTTTACGAGCAAGAGCCACCTGCTGCTGCATCATATCAATGCCACCAACAACACAGGCGCATTTTAGACCAATGGATGCACCCAAGGCTTCAAACTGTTCCCCAATCTGATAAGCCAATTCTCGTGTCGGAGCCAAGACCAATGCATACAAACGCTGTGGATTTTGTAGCAAACGTTGCAAGATTGGAATCACAAAAGCACCGGTCTTGCCGGACCCTGTTTCAGCCAATCCAATAATGTCTTTGCCTGCCAAACCATGAGGAATCGCTTCTTGCTGGATTTTACTCGGTGTTGACCACCCCACAGCTGTAATGGCTTCACAGATTGAAGAATCGACACCTAATTCTGCAAATGATTTCGAGCCACTAAAGCCATCGGTTTCTTCGTTCTTGTCATCATCAGTGGGAGCTGGAGACGTGGACATTATTAGGAACTTTTGTACCACCAGGTGAAGAATTGACTGGAGAGGAGACTCCGACGTTTTTATTGGCTGGTATGAAATGACCTGTAAAATGTAGTATTATACTTGACAGGTAGTATACTTCAATATATATTTAAAAAGGTTTATTACTCGTTTCTGAAGGTACTATTGTCAATTTTTGGCGACTTGGAGATGTACTTGGTGTATACACATGTATTCCTGTATACTATACACTGTCTAAAATACTAGAATGACGATCTGGTAGTCATAAAACCATGATTGCAAATCCTTAGACTTTATCCTTCATGTGAAATTGTTACTGATTCCGGTCCCAAGCGGCACCAGATGTTTTTAAAAACAAGTGACGAGGCAATACTTAAGGTACATGTTGCTTGCGAACACACACATGTCTCATGGTATGACCTGTACGTATAGATCAGTCGCTACTTCTCGCAACCCATTGTATCTTAAGATATGGACATGTTCTGTACAGGGGGCTGGCGTGCCGAGACAAGAAATAATCATTAACGAAACGCGTCTTCCTCTTGCATGATAATATGATTACAATACCATCTGAGCTCTTTATTAAACTAAGCTGTATGGCCATACACCTTGACTTGATGCATCCGAGCTTTCCTGTCAGTATCTTTGTGTCTTTCTCTATAAAAAGACGAATCGTGCACCTGTACATCATCTGGCTCTCGTATGCTTCAGCTGATGCAATAGCCATGCAATCTACCGCAACGTACCCAACAGGTCACCAAAGTGAGCAAACAGACAATTTGTAGTCCTGGAATCATTCTGCCTTTTGCCTCGACACTACGCACTTGTTTAGCTTTAAAGTCGTATTGAAACGGTATCCGCAATAGTTTGTACTCGTTTCTGTCATGGACTTCTTGAACCATGGCACTAGTAATGTCTCTAGAATATCTCGGGTCTCCATGACACATGAAAAGTCCCGGAACAGCAACATCGAGTCGCCTACACACGCACTGGTTCACACTACCAATGGTAGAATGACGTTAGATTTACAAGAAAAAGACTCGATGAAGTTAGCTCACATCACGAATGCACTCATGTACGGTATCATCAACTCCATCCTGTCCATTCCCACCATGTACGGATACGCTGTCATTCTTTTTAGCCACAAAGACTTTGCAGATTTCATGCCGGCCCTCTCCAAGCTTGTCATCTATGCCAGCGCTGTGCATCAAATTATGTTCACACTCATGAGCTCCTTGCCTTTTTCCATTGGACAAGTGCAAGATGCTGGACTCATTTTCCTTAGTACCATGACCACCTCCATCTGCAATTCATTGGGCGACGACGTGCCGGTAGAGGCCAAGGTGGCCACTTCTATCGTCGTAATCGGTATCGCCACGGCATCGTTGGGGGTATGTCTTGTGGTCATGGGCAAACTCAAGCTGGCCGTGCTTGCGTCGTACTTGCCCATGCCCGTTATTGGAGGATACCTTGCTTTCATTGGCATTTTCTGCTTCTATGCTGGACTTGCGCTGTGCACAGGTCTCGTCGTCAAAAAGTTCGAGTCCATGATCAACGTCTTCGACAATGCACACGACGTTCTGCTCTGCGTACCCGGTATTCTTGGCGGTGCTTTCCTGCTCATCGTATCGCAGCGCTACGACAATTCGTTCATCCTGTCCGGATCAATCTTGATCATGCCCATTATGTTCTTCTTCATTCTGTTGGTTGGCGGTATCTCGATGGACGACGCGCGCGACGGTGGCTGGATCGGCCCTGCCAAAGACCCTGTCACCGTCTCGGAACTGATCAATCTCTTTGACTTCTCCCTGGTCCACTGGGACCAACTACCAAAGCAACTTGGAACGTGGATCGGTATGGTGTTTGTCGTGTCGTTCTCGTCTTGCTTGGATATTGCTGCGATTGAGCTCGACATGGGCAAGAGACTTGATTTCAATCACGAGCTCAAGATTGTCGGCTGGTCGAACGTCGTCAGCGGTCTACTGGGCGGCTATACAGGGTCGTATATTTTCTCGCAAACCATCTTCACCTACCGTTCCAAGACCAACTCTCGCATCGTTGGTGTTTGCGTGATTATCTCGGAGCTTACGATCGTGCTGGTTCCTGTGTCCTTCATGAGTTATGTGCCGCGCTTCTTCTTTGCAGCCACACTCCTTTTCATTGCCATTGATCTCATGATCGAGTGGCTTGTACTTACATTCAACAAGATGTCCCTGCGCGAGTACGCGGTGCTATGGATGACATTCGTCGCCATAAACCTCATGACGCTCGACAAAGGTATGCTCATTGGATCGGGTATTGCGATTGTCAACTTCTTGCTGGGCTACATTCGCCAGCCCGTTGTAATCCAGAAACCTCGTTCTTCTACCACAGCTCGTACTCTTGAAGAGCGTCGACTGCTCCATGACATGTGCGGTACCATCGCGTTTTTCGAGTTCAGCGGCTTCCTTTTCTTCGGTTCGACAGTGCAGATCCTCGACCGCATCCAGAAAGCCGTATACGTCCGCAAGCAAATTTCAGACGATATTGGTGACGTTGGAGCAGACTACGTCAGTGGCGACAACATGTCGCTCACCCCCAACGAACATCGGACACCGTCGATTGAGTGTCTTGATGGAACTCCTGCTACAAACCCCGACGCCGAACCGACCAGGTACGTCGTAATGGACTTTACCAACGTCACGGCAATGGACGCCACGGCCGCACGTAGTGCATTCCTCATTCTCCAGAAGTACTGCAGTAATCACGATATCACCGTCGTGTATGCCGCAGCGCTTCCTCAGATCCGCAGTATGCTGGTGAAAAACGACATCGCAGGCGATGATAATTTTTTTCAAGCTCCGAGTCAGCTCTCGAGTTCTGTGAGAATGAGCTCCTGGTTAGTACCTTGGGTGTAGTTTGCAAGAGCAGCTTCCGTGACGAGTCTAGCAGGCAGTTAATGCAGCTTTTTACTGGCGAGTCCGACGACTCGCAGATTCTGAGCGTTGCCGACAAGTTGTTTGAGAAACGTGAGGTGCTCGCCGGTCATGAATTTTACAGCGTCGGGGAATCAGCAGACCACTTCTACTTCCTCGCAAGGGGTTGTGTCACGCTCAGTAGAAACAACGGATTAGATGGGAGTGTTGAGACCGTAATGGCGGGGTCCCTGTTCGGTGAAGTCGACTTTTTTGGTCACCAAAAGCGGCAACTGGTGGCATTCGCGATGGAACCATGCGTTGTGTTTGAGATGCGACGTGAGACGTACGAGATGATGCAGGAGCAGAATCCAGCCTTGCTGACACGGATTCGTGACATAGTGATGCAGTCAATGGCAGCCTCTGCCATGAACCATAGCAGCAGTAGGAGTACGAAAAGCTAAACGATATCGCTATCCGAATGAGGTAGTTCAAGTCCATAGCTCAATCGATGTTGACGTGGGTACATTCGACATGCTTTTGACTGCTCCTCTAGCTTTGGGCTAGGCATTGAACAAAGTGCAGCACTGGTCAGGAGGACGAACTCAAGCTGATGCAGAATACGACGGAGTTTTATGGGACTTGGCACTGCTGGTTGAGTAGCAAATTGACCAGGTTGATTACCAGGTTCGCTCAGCTGCCAACTACGTAAACAACGCAACCAAGAAGTGCAAGTAGCGAACAAGTATCAGAATGTGCGCTGTAACACAAGGTGCTTGTCTCTGCTTCGTGCTGGAATATGGCATCCTCTAACAATCGTCGTAATTGCAATGGTTCTCGAAAAAGCATTGTACCACCAAAGAGCTGCATAAAGATTCATGTTTTGCACAGATAACAGCGACATTGCTTGTCTTTTTTGCATTCTTGCGTTGGCCTAAGTGTCCAGCGCTCGGCTTTTCTGAGTCCTTCTTTCTTCGATGTGTCCGGAACAAGTAGTCTACTCGATCGCCTTCGGTGCCTTGAATACGTCGCCGATTGCGGACTTGAAGCAGTCGATGTTGTAGTCAATGATTCCTTGCTTCATAAAATTCTCCGCACGCAGCAAGCACACTAGGGCCAAATAACTGTCGATGCAACGAAATAGAGCAAGCATAGTATTAGACAGCTGATGACATTACATTGATACTTCACAAGCACAGCTTACTTGTTCACTTCACGGAGGTAAAGAACCATTCCATTGTTAAGCTTGATCACCGAAGATGACTTGGAGTCGTATGCAAGGCCATCACCCTCGCCGTCGTCCTTCATTCTGTAAAACGCAACACACATATGCGAGATGTAAGAAGGAAGAGTGTAGATCTGGCTGTAGTTCACGGTCATTTACCCATAAATACAGGAGACGTCGATGACGACATCAATCATATCGCTGCATAGTTCGTACGACTGCATGTCCACGGGGTTGCTGTCCGTCGCGATGTAAACCTTGCTTACAACATCAAACAAGAACGACTTCTCCATGTTGCAACTCTGGTAAACACACGTTCAAAAAACAGGGTCCTCGAATCTCAGCAATCTCCCCTCTGCTCTGTGCAACCATTCAGTCTATTATCGTACCGTGATGAGGATATTAAGAAGATTCTCAAGCGTTGGCAGCTGCGGAATCAACTTTTGCACGACCTTGCTAAATGCCTCAAAAATGGAGTGGTCGTAGATGCTTGTCAGGTAAAAACTCATGTGGATGTCGAGCTCTCCGTCATTGATCTCATCCATAATCTGCTGCTGAATTTCACGTTGGCAGTCTATCCACACAACGCGTACATATCTAAATAATGCCATTCAAACTGTCAAAAGAGTCTTCGTCCATACCGATCTTGTGGTCATCCGACAAAAAGAGATCACCGTCCACCTTATGGATGAAAACTTCAAACAAAATGTCCGGGTTGTACCTATGCGCGCGTGTGACAGTGTCGTGCAGTCGTGCCAGAGCCTCTGCATACGGTTCATCTTGTGCATCAATGACAAACACAATAGACCCGCAATTACTAAAGATCATCTCTTCGTTCACGAGTTGTCCACCGTAAACCAGGTCCTCTATGGCAACATCAGCAGCAGCAGCATCGTCAGCTACTCCAATTTCTGCCTCAATTCCACAGTTCAACACCCTATTGTACTGTACCTTTAAAATCATAATCTCCAGGAAAATCCCAGATTTGAAATTGTACAAACGAATTGTTCGCAATGTACTTAATGTCGAGACTATTCGTGCCTTCCAAGAATAAAGTTTCATGTGGTGACATTTTATGGAAAACCACTCGTTGAATACTTGACTTGCCACTTCTATTTAATTACAAATAAAAAACAAAGAATAGACGTGAGTAAAGGACGGTTTAGGAACAACAAATGAATAGCAAAAGAATTGACATTTTCTACCTGCGCAACCCCATGAGCAGAATACGGGGTTTATTTTCACCTGTTAAAACAGTGGCTTCCTCTTCATAACTGATAGAAATGAAGCACGTTAGAAAGATTTCTAATTCACATGTACAAAGTAGTAGGAGACCCTTGATTGAAATTGTAGCCTTCCGAGTCTATTAAAATGCCCATAATTACCAAACGAGACAGAATTAGAGAATGCAAGAACGATCTCCATGAGTGCAAGTGAGTTGATGAGAAGATGAGACTATTTGAAGAAAGTCAAGATCTCTATAAGCAGAGATATCGAGTCAAAAGTAAACGTACAAGAGTTCTCCCATCCCAATTCCATCGTGATCTTGTTATCAAGTCGCAAATTAAAAAATGAGCGACTAAAATATCAAAATTACAAAATTGACCAAGGCTACCATACTAACAACAACTACAAAAAAAAGTAGCAAAAACGAGACTTATACTATCAAATTTTACCAAAATGACCCAGATTTAAAATGGCTACATTATATAAAGGCATTTTATTATGGAAGAAGCACTACGTCGTCAGTTTGCGCTTGTGGACGCCAGTTTTTGTTTTGTAGCAAAACATTACGCAGCTCCAACTGTGCATAGTATTCTACGTGTAGCCAATAGTTTCGGCAGCTTGCAGCTCACGCGTGACGATCTCATAAAATTATCAGCTGTCGCCCCTGAACTCTTAATTCTGAGTCGTTCTGATTCTATTCTCCCGATAGGTACGAAAAAATAAAACGATGTTTTTTTATAATTTGTGCTCATTTTTATTTTGGGTCTTCTATTGTTTTATTTTGGGTATTTTGTGTTCATTTGGGGTTGTAGATGACGTGTACAGTCCAATGCCAGCAAGTAATCAAAACGTTGAAGTTGTGACATTTCCATTGGTGCCACAGACGAGCCAACGTGCAAGTTCCAAGAGAAAAAAATTATTTGACGTTGCACTGTTGCAAATTCCAAGAAATAGTCACGTGGGACCAGAAATTTCTTGGAAACCATCTGTTGAGACCGACAAAACGGACTTTTTGACCATGAGACAGTCAAATGATTCGGGATCATCAGTCTTGACAATGTTGCAACAAATGGACTTGTATCGAAACCAAATTATTCACGTGGAACGACGGAGTTCTCGTGAAGCTCAATATTGTGGTCTTGAACCATTGAAATTATCATTACGAGTATGTAAAGCGTTGGATAAATGTTACCAGATTAAACAATTGTACTCACATCAATTTGAGGCAATTGAAGCCATTCGTCGTGGAGAAAATGTCGTCTTGTCTACAGCCACCGCAAGTGGTAAATCACTTGCGTACAATATTCCGATGCTGGATATGCTGCTTGAAGACTCGAATGCTACTTTCATGTATCTCTTTCCAACGAAAGCATTGGCACAAGATCAGCTCAAGGCATTGAGACGATTTTTAGAAGCAGCAGATCTGCGACCTCATCTTGGAGCGACATTTGTAAGACTTTGTTGTCACTGTTACTGTTGATGGTGTAGGCTCACTTCGTATTGGGTTGGAAAATGGTAGAAATGGAGCTCATTGATGATATGTATATGATGCTGTCTAGGATGGCGACACACCTATGAAAAGCCGATCGATGATAATTCGAGAAACGCGGGTATTCTTAACCAATCCAGATATGCTTCACTTGACAATTCTTCCAAAACATCGGCAATGGAAGCAGGTGCTTTCAAACCTCAGGTAGGAATTTGTGTGGGGTTGGTGTCACATACACGGTATTGTTGATCTCTTGTACTTTGTTGTGATGTAGATTGCTAGTCGTAGATGAAGCCCATATGTACCGTGGCGTGTTTGGGTCACATGTTGCGTGTGTATTCCGCCGATTATTTCGCCTATGCGCGCTGTACGGCTCAAACCCGCAGGTGGTTTGCTGCTCGGCTACTATCCAGAACCCAGATACACATTTCCGACAGTTGCTACCACCGCTTCCGCCTCAATCTGTTCATTCATCATCTTTTCCTGCAGATGACATTGCCCGAGAACATTTGGACGAAGATACTGGACCACCAAACTCTCCACTTTTTTCGTCAACGATCACTGAAAGTTATCACAAAAGATGGAGCTCCTTCCGTGGAGAAACTTTTTTGTGTCTGGAACCCAAAGGTGGCTGGAATGAAAGGCTCTGACGACGTTCAGACAGATACGTCTGCGCGCCATAGACGTAATTCCTCGCGATCTACCCATTTACCCAAGGTATTCCCATGCGTCGCGACTACGCGAAAGCGTAAGCGCATGAAGGACAGACCAAGTAATGCCGAACCAGACGATGAAGCACAGAAGGTAGGGGCCAATGTGACCAATAGTGCGATTTTCCAAGGCGCTCGAATCCTTGCTCGTTTGGTTGAAGCAGAAATCGCAACGCTTCTTTTTTGCCGTGGCAGGAAACTAACTGAGCTGGTTCTCATGAACGTTCACTCAATTCTGAAAGCTGACCCTCGTACTCAAAAGCTGCTTCATCGGGTCAGCTCCTATCGCGGTGGGTATACCCTAGAATCCAGGCGAAGGATTGAGCAGCGGCTGTTTAGTGGAGATTTGCTTGGTGTCGTAGCAACGAACGCATTGGAGCTAGGTATTGACATTGGTGAGTTGGACTGCACCATACATCTTGGGCTCCCATCAAGCATCGCATCTTTGTGGCAGCAAGCCGGTCGTGCAGGTCGCCGACAACAGCAATCCAACCCAAAATTGTCCGTCGCCATTATTGTATGCTTTGATGCGCCTCTGGATCAGCATTTTGCACAGCAGCAACACGCCATGGAACTTTTCAAGCTTGAGCCAGAGGCTGCGACTTTGAACCCGCTGAATCGTCGCATCCTCGGACAGCATTTATTGTGTGCTGCCCGCGAGTCGGCACTGTATTCTTGCCAGTCTGGAACAGCTTATATTGATTCATTTATTCTTGGGAGTCTAAACGACAGCAAAGGTGACGAAAGTGACAACGGTGGACAAACGGTGATGTCTGAGGTAGACATTGTACTTCAGTCGCTTGTGAAGGAGAACAAATTGATGAAGTGTTCGGAGTTAGATGGACACATGAACTATCGCATCCATTCGTGCATGCCGAAAAAGTTCCGCGCAGTGAGTTTGCGCAGTATCTGCGATGAAAATTACGTTGTGGTAGTTCCGAGTAATAATGCTCACAATGATGGAGATGATGGTGAGGTACTTGATGAAATTCCAGGAGACAAAGCTTTCTTCCAGGTTTATCCCTCAGCGGTGTATCTTCACCAGGCGCAGGAGTACGTGATCACCCGATTGGACAATGTCCAGCGCATAGCGTTCGCAAAGAAGTGTCAGAAGCCGCTCACGTATTTTACAAGTTGTCGTGATTTCACTGATCTCGAGGTTGTCCGTGTGCACAGCACCTCACGGATTGGACATGGCTATGAAAAATCAAGGAGCGACTCTGTACTAGTGTGTGTTGGTACTGTGTCCATTTTAACGCGAGTTTTTGGATCGACGAGGGTGGAAAAGCGCACAATGCGAGTTGTAGCGACAAATGAGTTTTCTCTTCCACCCATGCAATCATTCGGAGAGGCTGTGTGGCTCGAATTTCCTGCTGCACTTCGACAGCAAGTCGAAGCCAGGAGCGGAGCATCGTGGACTGCAGCACTGCATGGAGTCGGTCACCTTTTTGTAGCACTGGTTCGTCTGTTTCTACTTTGCGACACAGATGATATTGACACGGAGCATGTCAATGAGTTCGAGCAGCGTGTCAAGTACGATGATTGTTATCCGTTTTTTTGTGAATGACGGTGATGCTGACATCTTGTTATATGGTGGTTACTGGCAGACCAAATCGCGTTACGATCTATGAGAGACGAGAAGGAGGAAGTGGACTAGTTGCTGAAATTGTCAAAGTCTTTCCAAAGGTATGGTCGCTGCAAAAGTTTGTTATTGTTTTGGTTTGTAGAGCTACTCATTACGGTGTTTGTTGGGAAAATGGTGCAGCTTATCGAGAAATCATGGACGATTGCAAGTGAATGTTTATGCACTGAAGGCTGTCCTGCTTGTATTCAATCAACTGGATGTTCCGAGTACAATCATGTATTGAACAAGCACGGAAGTCTTCAAGTGCTCGAGTATCTACGCAGTATTTACTATCCATGACGCCACTCTGGAATGAATGAATACAAGCCTGCCTAGATGGCTGTACCTGATGGGACAATACTTGTACCCCCCCTCCTCCTCCTCGTAACCGTACCCCCCTGGTAGTCACGCGTGACATTTTTCGTGGTCCTAATCCATTTGAAAAGCGGACCGTCTCACCTCCTCATCCTATAGGAACGTCCATGTATTCACCAGCACTCTCAGGAGCAGTCAAGCGTCGTAATCATCCAACGTCTTGTCCTCCTGGAGCTCAATATGGTCCTCCAATTGTCCACAATGAGACATCCGAATCTCGTCGTCGTCGTCATCGTAGTTGGGTGGATCACGAGAGCTCCTCGTCATCGTATAACAACAGTGAATCCATTTCACTCTTGATTGCTAATGGCAATAACTCGGTATCATATAGTGAGAAAACCACTAGCAACAGTGATACTTGCAGTCCTGCACGACTCGTGAAAGTCACGAACGCTCTTTTATACGGCGTTATCAACTCGATTTTGACCATTCCGTGCATGTACGGCTACGTGACGATTATCTTTGGTCATCCTGACTTTACCAGTTTCATGCCAGCACTTTCCAAGCTCGTCATGTTGTCCAGTGTCGTCCATCAAATCATGTTTACTCTCCTGAGCTCGCTTCCTTTTGCCATTGGACAAGTACAAGATGCAGGTCTTATCTTCCTCAGTGCAATTGCAACGTCCATCTGCAACTCATTGGGACAACATGTGACGTTAGAAGCCAAGGTCACAACCACAGTGGTTACTATTGGTGTAGCCACGGCGTCGCTCGGTGTCGTGCTTGTGCTGCTTGGGAAGTTTAAACTCGCAGGACTAGTGTCGTACCTGCCAATGCCCGTAGTAGGCGGTTACTTGGCCTTTATCGGACTGTTCTGCATGTATGCAGGATTGTCATTGTGTACAGGACTCGTGATCAATGACTTCACGTCCATGATGCAGATCTGGGACCCACATTACATGATTCTCTGCATCCCGGGAGTTCTTGGAGGTGTGGTCCTACTGCTGGTGGCGCAGCGGTACGAAAACTCGTTTGCATTACCTGCGACGATTCTACTGATGCCGATCCTGTTCTTTCTTGTGCTGGCGTTCTGTGGGATTTCGATGGATGAAGCACGCAATTATGGATGGATCTCGCCTGCCTCGGATCCTGCTGGTTTCGTGCAGATGTTCGCTATGTTTGACTTCTCCCAGATGCACTGGAACCAAGTCCCAAGGCAATTCACGACATGGCTCGGGATGACGTTTGTTGTTGCTTTCTCGTCTTGTCTAGATGTAGCAGCTATCGAAATGGATATGGGCACCCAGCTCAATATCAACCATGAATTAAAGTCTGTTGGCTGGTCCAACGTCGTTAGCGGATTGCTGGGCGGATACACTGGATCGTACATTTTCTCGCAAACCATCTTCACTTACCGCTCTAAGACCAACTCGCGTCTCGTGGGCGTGTGTGTAATCATTTCCGAGTTTGCCATCGTGCTTGCACCATTGTCCGTCATGAGTCTAGTACCGCGATTCTTCTTCGCAGCCACGCTGATCTTTATCGCAATCGACTTGATGATGGAGTGGCTTGTGCACGTATACCACAAAATCTTGCCACGGGAGTACGTTGTATTGTGGCTCTCTTTCATTGCTATTAACATGGTCTCGCTCGAACTGGGAATGGTCCTTGGCGTTGGTTTTGCCATCATTAACTTCTTGCTGGGTTACGCTCAACTTCGTGTAGTGAACCGTCGATCTCGCTCCTCTGCTGCTGTGCGAAAACTTGCAGCTCGCACTTTCCTCGGTCAAAAGCGCGATGCTATCGTCTACCTGGAGCTGTATGGCTACCTTTTCTTTGGGTCATCGGTGCAAATTCTTGAAGACGTGCAAAAGGCCGTACACATTCGCAAGCCCCGAACTGTTATCAAGCAGAAATCGAGTACGAGAACTAGAAAGGAATCGCATGCCATTGACGATTCGGGCATTCCTCTCACACCTGTATCCAAGCGAGATGTCCCCATACAGTGTCTAGATGGCAGCCCTGCACCGCACCCCGATGGCCTGCCAACTGAGTATGTCGTCATGGACTTTAGCCGCGTTTCTGGTATGGATGCGACGGCTGCACGTAGTGCATTCATGACGTTGCAGCAGCATTGCAAACGTCACGCAATCACTGTCATATTTGCCGACGTGCTACCAGAAATCCGTAGCCTGCTGCTCAAAAATGAGATCGTGGATGAAAAAGACTTCTTTCTCGATGCTGAATCGGCTTTGGAATTCTGTGAGAACCAGCTACTGACGCACACGAACCACGTTCAAGATTTCAACCACACTCATAAGTCCATAAGTGTGCTGCTGCACCGCTTTATGGGTGAACCTGACGAATCGCCACTTTTCAGCGGCGTCGACCGGTTTTTTCAGAAGTACGAAGTGCCTGCAGGATACGAGTTCTACCGAGTGGCTTCTTTCCCCGATCGTTTCTACTTTCTCGCTAGTGGCCGTGTTGCACTCTTTATGAACGATGACGGCAGCGTGGCCCCCGGAAAGTCTCTCACTCCTTTGGAAAATGTGATGCCTGGTGCCATGTTCGGTGAGGTAGACTTCTTTGGCCGTCAATACCGATACATGGCGGCTACGGCCGTGGAACCATGCACTGTGTTCGAAATGACACGCCAAAGCTACGAATCGATGGATGAGTTGGCGCCTAAACTCTGGAACCGTCTACGAGACGTTGTCATGCAGTCCATGGCGCTATCGATTACCAACACCACGTCCATTAACACCCTGAATAATGCCAATGGGCATCTTCGCGGACCTAACTAATGAAGCAGCAATGGCAACGTAGAATGTTAATCTCAACCCACATGTTTCTCAAGCGTTTTTGGTGTATTTGTTGCAACTCTTACTGCCATGACATCATTGTCTGATACAGTATTAACATCTTGCTGATCTCAAAATCGGACGTTGCGCGCAATGTCACGGAGCACGCTCTTCTCTGTCCACTTGCACTTCAGACTTACGCTTTCAACGCTTGGATCAAACACAACGACCTACAGAAAAAGTCGATTAAACTTTCTGACATCCCTAGCTTTTCATTGCTTGGTGTAGCACGTACCATAGGCGCGATGGCCACGTAGAAAAAACCTGCACGCTCTTCATGACATAAAGAATCGCCAAACAGGTCAACAAATTGGCCTTGGTCGAGTGTGTGGTGCACAGGGTCTTGAGAGTGAAATGCAGCTGACATGTAAAACGCAACCTCGCGCGCCAAATTGAATAGTTTCATGAAGGTAAGACGCCGCACACCATCACATGTAACTTCCAGTTCAGGCTTGGTTGTGCCGTCCTTTCTCATACGCCCAACTAGTCGTAGTTTTGACCGGAACATCTCTACCATAGAATCCAGGACACGCCGTGCGTCTTTAATAGCGATCCGGCATTCACCCCAATACCGAGTAGTCAGCATCTTTGTCCGCTCCATCTCTGTCTTTTTCTGACGCTCCAGCTGTGCCTTGTACATGTTGAGCTCGTTCAAGATAGAATCTGTCCGCGCCACATGAGGACTTCGGTCTTGGAGTCGTAGCTGCGCTCGTGTAGCCGCCAACTGACTTTGCACATTTGCAATCTCAATTTTTGCTTTTTCCTGCGCCGCTGTAACTTCATTTTTTGCTCGTACACGCACTTCGTCATTTTCAATCAACATTCGTTGTAACCGCTTTCGAAGTGTTGCATTTTTCTCTTCCAATGCTGCATTTCCAGCCCGCTCTTTCTTTAAATCAGCTACTAGTGTAGCAGTCAGTCTTGAGACACAAAAGAAAAGAACATCCACACACACATATCGTCAAACAAGTTTCATAAATATTGCACATCCAGTCTTCAATTCAAAATTGCTACTCACGGTCGTGCTCGTTTCCGTGGTTGTGGTGCACAAATCACTGGAAGATCTGCAGGTACCGGAATTGACAAAAGACGAGAAGTTTTTGTTGAGGCATCACTCGTCAAAGTCCTTGGAATCCCTCTTGTCTCGGAATTGACTTTATTCACTTGAAATGGCAGCACTTCGGCCTCTAGAGCTACAATATCAGCATGACACATTGCTCCACTTGTAGCTCCAGAGGCAGCATTTGGTGATTGTGGAACAATCTTTTCAGTACAAGCTGATGACTCGTGCCTTTCAATGTCAAACACTAGCTCCCTCGTTTTAGTGACTTTCACGTGCTGTATGACGATTGACAATGCTTGACCTGTGAGGTCGATCCCATTGACAGACAAGAGCGTGTCTCCTACACGCAACTGTACGTCTTTCTCGTGTACTTGTGACACCTGTACTCTCTTATGCTTGTCATGACGTACTTCAAAGCCCAATGTATCGCCATCTCTCATCACGTGAACGCTTAACCGTCGAGTATCCGAGCCATGCGTCATTCTTCCGAGGGAAGTTTGAAAAAGAGTGATGTGGTGCACACAAACCGTCGCACAAATCGGTCTTGATCTGACTATCTTAATCTAACTATTGGGATGAATCTAAACGTCTGGACAGCAGCAAGTGATGGCGATATGGCAAGTGTCAAAGCATTTCTGGCAAGTGGTGGCGATATTAATGCGAAGGATGAAAACGGATACACGCCTTTGTATGTGACAATCAGTATGTACACTTGTGGAAATACACTGACGAGCTGGTCATAGGCAGGCAGCAGTGAGCTACAGTCACATGGAATTGGTGGTGTTCTTGCTGGCTAGTGGAGCAGAGGTTCAATTGGGTACGTTCTTGAGTGTAGTATGTTATAAAGCTGCTTGATGTATGAGCTACTGATGAGGATTGGAGTGGGGTGGGTGGGTATAGGAGACAATGAGATGGATACACCCCTGCATCGATGCGAAACGGTTGAATGTGCTAAGGTGTTGCTGGACCACGGGGCAGAGATGAATGTACGCAATTCCGAAGGACAAACGGTGAGATGGCAATGTGTAGAGTATAGAGAAGAGGAATTGATTCATGTAATTGATGGTGGGAATAGCCGTATGATGTTGCTATTGAGGACGAAAACGAAGAGCTCAAGACGTTGTACGACAATCTCGGCGCTGAAAAGTCGAACATGATTGTGGAAGAGGAGGAGGACGGGAGGTTTCCAAATGGCGTCGAATGGGAAGAATAGAGTGTTTGCATGGTCTAGTTGGACTGTGAAGAGAACGTTATCATAAATATGAAGAAGAGTCCTTTGTCGCTTCAAATACGAACGGCTGGTTCTTGTTTACTACCACTACAACTTGTATCTGAATGCGTTCACTCAGCAAGAGGTTGTCAACATGATCCGCTGTCACACGTTCAGTCTCATTATATCATTTAAGAATCATTGTGAACACTTTTTGCAAAAGGAGCTACATGCACGAGCAAACGTATCATTGCTATTCCTTCTTTCACTTTGCTCAATACAAAGCAGATTATCGACTAACGTTGGTGACTGGAATTCCTTCCCCTGCAATTCTGTCCACCCATTTTCATTCACTCTAGGATGGCTACATCAGAGCTGAACACACCCTTTTTCGCTCGGTCCTCGACGACGGAGCAGGCATTACGCACCATTGACACTGCAGCATTTTGCGTCAACTTTGACTCACAAAGGTCCATCAACGTTCCAGCGTATTTCAGGCTGTAGCTATTGATTCCGCCTGTAAAGGAGCAAAAAGTGGTGAAACTGCGGGTGATATCCTCGTAGCACTCAGAGTTCTTTAACTCTGTGACTCGAAGCAAAGGTACTCCATCTTGCTGCTCATATAGAGCGTGAATCGTCTCGAATACCTCGTCAACTGCTTCCCGAGTTTGAATAGCTGCAATGACTTTGTTGCCAAAGTTACGTCGATCTTTTCCTGGTGAAGCTCGCAGGTAGCGGTAGAACTCCACGACAAGATCCACATCCCGGGCATCCACAGCGCTGTCAAATGGTGCAGCATTAGTTCCACTAGTCGAGAGTGTGTCGGTATCATCACTATAAGACTCATCATTCGAGTCTTTGTCATAAGTGGACAGATAATTGCCAACGATCTCATTCCTAAGCTTTGATGACCCGAACGCCTTTACGTGGCTTTTTGATGTCGCATTCTTGACTCGGTGGAACTGCATCTTGAGTGACTCATCCGACAGATCCGTGAGATCGCTGTCTTCCATCCAGTTGACAGAGTACAAGTCACCGAGACACGAGTTAATCCGTTTGCCATTCACTTCATCCATAGGAGGACAATAGGTCGCCCACGAGGACTCAAAACCGTTTGCAGCCGTCGTCACGAATGCATTAATGGTTTTCAAAAAGCTGTTCGAGAACATGGAGCCCGACTCGCAGGCTTCCATGTAAAACACGAGCTCTTTGTACATTTTCCTATCGTACATTCTCTGCATCGTTTGCTTGAGTCTCGAAGCTGAGAGCGGCTTCATGTGCGGAAAATAGACGTTTCCACGAGAGCCATGGTCGATAAAGTTGACAAAGACACGATCATCTGCAGTACTATTGAGCACCTTCTTATTGAACGCACCAGAGCTATTGCCTGTAAGGACGTTTAAAAACGTCTCAGGGGTCACTTCGACACCGCGAAAATTGATATTGCAGCCTTTGTAGACATCCACAGGCTGCAAAATCGCGTCTGATGCGTTCTTCATAGTGGGTTTATTAAATAACTGGCCTGGAAACGGATTGCGTTCGTGCCAGGCGACGTCATCAAACATCATGAGCACGACGTTCTCAGCTGGAATGCCATGGCGACGTACAACGTGATAAGCATGACAGGCATCTGATTGATGCCGATAATTACTGTAACCGCTAGAACCAGCTACGATAACTGCCCAATGTTCAGCATGGACTCGGAAAGAGCAAGCGTAGCACTGCAGTAGTAAACACGAGCATAAGAGCTGTCATCTCTGTAAAATGGGTACGAAAGGATAAACAACAGATGGATACATGTGTGTAAAGTACATAAATGTATCTATCCGACTTGTCAACCCTTAGCTAGTGTCAATTAACACATATCAATTATCTGAGACGCCGTTACGAACCGACACTTATCGAGTAGCTAATGATTGGCAAGAGTTGGTTACTAACTCGAAGCGGATCCGTACGTCACTGCCTGTAATAATCAATACATTTCTAATCTGAGTCTCCCTCCTCCCACCACCTTTCATATCGAATATACTCCCTCCAGTCCTACTACTGTATGTATTTCTAATGGACATAGCCCATCCAGTGTCTACCCGGCTATCCCCTCCCCGCGTCACGCGAGACGTGTTTTTACTCAAACTCTAAATTTAGACTTCTCACTTATACTGACTACCTCGGATTTCTAAACGTTTAGAAACCCACAAACGGAGCTCCTCAACGACAGACGAAAGTCATTGTCGTTCTACCATTACTCTCCAGTCGTACAGAGGAACTTTTACGACCACATCCAAGCACATTGACGCGATTCAATTCAACAGGTGGATACATCTGTATCATATTATCTCTGTATCTAATTTTCGAGTCTATTATTGCACAGCAAAGCATCAAAAAAAGGATGCGAAGACGAAGACCACAAGTGTTTCTACTGATGCTCGTAGTCTCAATAGCTGATAGAATACAGGGACATAATGCTTCAAGTGTGACAATAGTTGATACAACGGAACCAGATGATTGCTCGGCTTGCTGTGTATCAATGACATCAACGGTGTCTCCTGCACGTGCAACTTTAGCAGGAGGAGACCCGGATCTATCGCTCGTTTGTTGCAATGAACATCAACCAAGAGATCTCTTTGGAACAACACATGGAGAGTGTAGTGGTCTACCATGCTGTCAATATAGTGGAAGAAAAGCTCAGAACCATCAAGCGTGGTACCCGTGCGTGGCTTTCCCCACGTGTCAAGAGGATTCCAACAAACAGGCATTCTGCAATGGACAAAAGTTTTGGTCTTATACAGAAGGTTACGACTGGTCGTGTACAGATGAATGTTGCAATGGACTTGTGCTGGACTCGAACGTCTGGCGTGGTGTTGAGAATATTTATCCCGGACAGACAAACGGTACTTTTGGTGTTCGTGTCACGCCCACGGACTTTGTAGATGTATTTTACCCTAAAGGTATGGCCGGAAAGATTTATACTGTACATCAGATTATGCTCGCTAGTCCTCCAGGCTACAATTTTACAAAAGGCTGCTCGTGTTATTTGGAACGACTGCCGAACGTGTCGGCTCTTGTACAGCGTCAGAGCACAAACTGTGAGGTGTCAACTTTTTTTGGTGAGAACAAAACGTACTTGACGGTGGATATTACTGAAGAATACCGGACGGACGATACATTTGTGTTTCTTTTTGATGGGGTGGTGACGCCAACTGGAATAAATGACAGCGCTAGTTTTACGACTAACGTGACGTACACGACGGATACGAATCTCACGCCCGTGTACTTTATTTACAACGACTCAGAAAATACTGCCTTTGGCACATATGTGCGCGTCACGGATTTGACGAGCGCAACTCTTTCGAGTGGTATATTTCTCCCGGAAAATGTTTACCCAGGCAACTCTGGCAACGCTAGTCTCGCTTTCTACACGGATGCCAACATACCGGAGAATAGTTCGATCACGGTGACATTCAGCTCCATGTGGGGATTTGTTAGTGACGCTGTGTGGTCTTGGGAGGTTCGCCCGCTTGTACCTTTGATCTCAAAAGACTCTTTAGCATTGACGACAGCTGCTACAACCGAGCATGTAGACGAAAAAACGAACAGGTTCTCGTCAGTGTCATACTCGTCTTTGAATAACTCGTGGACACTTGTCGTCGAAGAACCAATCTATATTGGCTGGGTTAGTCTCAGTGTGGACAGAGTAAAGAACCCATCGGTCGTGTTTTCAGGATTGAACGCGATTTCCATAAAGATTCACAACGCCCAAGGTTTATTTATTATTGGTGGAACATTCTCGGCCGTGTTGGTGAATCTGACATCGGGCGCTACTGCGAGTCCGTACAACTACGTCACTATGGTCGTACTCGTAGGGTCTCTAGTATTCTGCTGTGTGGCCATTCGGAAAAACGGACTGTCCTTCTCACTGGGCTCCATTTGGACCGATATTACAGCTATCTGTACTGTGCTGGCGTTGGCTACAGCCATTGTGAACAACTTTATCTGGTTTTTCACTCGTGGCAGCACTTACTTCTACATTATGCACGTGTACCTGTGCTTCACGTTCACGATGCTAACAGCGGTGTGCTTTCACTGGGGAACAGTGCTTAGCTTACGTCTACGAAAATTGCCAAAGGTTACTGCATCAATAGCATTCGTGGTGCTGAACGTTCTCTTTTACGCGTTCCAGATTGGCTACCTACTCAATTACCAGGCATTGATCTCGCGCGTGTATGAGTCCGAGAACGATGTCACTACACTTGCGTATCAGCAGTGCCATGAAAACACGGACATGTCCTCCATTGTATTTTCCGAGATCCAGGGCTATCTGTGGGCGTGCTACGCCGAAAACGACGATGACTTTTTTCTGGTTTCGACGTCAGTCACGTACGGAATTTTCCTCGTCCTAACATTTGTCGTTATGGCATTGGGCGTAATGGTAATGCGTCGTGGTAAGTTGTTGCTTGGCAATGCGTCAGGTCCCCACCAAATTGTCTTGATAAAGGCTTTGCGTCTATACTATGCGCTTATTGGTATCGTCACGCTGGTGTATCTCCTCTCATGGATTTTCCAGCTTATTTCGCGAACCACACGCGGAATCGCGTATCCGTGGTTTTATATTTTTACGGTGTGGTTACCATGCTCCATTCCTCCGTGCTGTATAATCTCGTTGCAGTGGAACGCTACAGCGCAGTCCTTGCGGGAAGCCAATCGAGAGGCTTCCGGCGACTGCAGTCCTTTATCGGAGTCGGACTATGGAGAGATCCGTACTCCAAACCTTACTTTTAGTACAACGGACCGATGGACGGAAGGTTCACGAGAGAAGATTGAGGAGTTCATGGCAGAAGAAGCTACAGTCGATGCAGGACCGAGCAGGCGTTTTCAGACGAACTCGACGATCTCGCCTACTGATGATTATGTCGGCCTCTCTATGGCCCTGGAGATGAATGAAGACTTCACCCATGGCTGCTTTATTGCCATTCAGCGATTAGAAGTAGAGGATGGAAGAGACAGCGGGTCCTCCACATGGCGACAAATCAGCAACACCGATACGGTGATGGCTAGCGTGAAGGATTTAGCACCGATCGTGCTGCCCCACCAGCAACGATACTTGTACACGTTCTTGTCAGTGCCACGTATTCCAGTTAGTGCCGCCGCAGAGAAGATTCGTATGGTGGTGTATGCGCTTACCTCAGGTCTTGCATCATCATTGAACCACGCAGATCATTCAGAGATAACTGCCGCCGAAGTTTTGGCTGCTTTGGAGCGAACGCAAAGTAGCCGCGACTTGGGCGACGACGGTGACAGCCAACACGCACTGGACTCATCACTGGTAGAGATGGAGGCATTGAGCGGCTTCCAAAGCTCACAGGTTATTGACGAACTCTTTGAGATGGAGTCCCCAGGATCTGTTGATGATGTCGACTCACGAGAGAGCAGATCCGATTTGAACTCGGGCATTTCGATGGTACCGCACACTTTTAGAGTAGTCGCAGAGTTCACGGTGTCTACAGGTGCTCTAGCGACGGCAGGCGCGCGCACGGAGCAAACAATTCTGACAGCCACTGAAGACTCGTACAAACACTTTGGTCCTAGCGCGGCGCCGCCGAAGCTGCTTGTAAATACAGTGATTCCCAAGACGGCGGGGGCAAAATATGGCTTCAATGGTGTCGAGGGTGGTCTCCGTCCAGCGGTGTCGGCGATCAGCAAGCAGTACCACATTCGTGAACAAGGTCTATTGGTTGTAGAAGACCTCACTGAAAGCCGTTTTAGCAACTGGATTCCACGACAGATTCTGGAGATCCTGATTCGGTATCGCACTAAGGAGCTTCTGATTGCCGAAAACGATCTCGCTCGTCTAGAAGCGTATGACCGTCAACGACAAAAAGGGTCGGAACGTGGCATCTACGAGAATTTGATAAAGCAAATCCAAGATGACGGCGACCTTAACCATTGTCGGGAGTGGATGCTTCATCGGTGTCACGAGCACAAGGAGTATGTAGAGCTTCTTCGTCAGTTGCGACGCGTGTATGTACTCCGCGATCAACGAAAACTGTACTTCAAGGCTAGCACGGAGAAAAAGAACGCACAACTGCGATTCCTACCGATCAACTTGCACTTGCAAGAGATGTGGGTTGGTAATGCTGATACTGTGGCACAAAACAGTTTGGGTAGCAGCGGTACCTCCGATATCAACACTAGTGCAGCTGTATACGATATCGTGACTGTGGGTGCCATGGCAGCGCACGTGTACAAGTTCAAGAATGGTGGCATTTTTGGTATGGAGGAGCAGCATGCAAAGCTTAGGCCTCGAGTGCGAGAACCACAGGGGCCGACTGGTACACACCATCAAACGCCGCTTTGGACAGAGCCCGAGCAGAAGGCGGATGAAATGGAGTGGGTACTTGGCAAGCGAATGGACGTGTGTTTCCCGCAAGCAGTGGCAGCGCTGGTCACTGCGTTCACACGCAAGATCGATTTGGCGTTGCAGCATGCCCGACCAGAACAGGGTCAGGCTATGCTGGAACAGCTTAGTCAACTGGGTTTCTTGTTTAACGTCGAAAGTTTGGTATCGACGCACGGCAACGAGGCGGGTATGTTGGAGGATATGGCTGGTGCTGTCAATGAGCTGCGCCATGTTCGTTTTGTTTTGGTGAATGAACAAGACGAAGTTAGCGAGACGGATGCGGAGGTCAGCGGTAACAAGTCGCCGCGACCAGTATCGTACCATCTTGAGGAGGAATCCAAGCGCAATCCGTCGTCATCTTTTCTCTCAAAATTAAGTACCAGCTCCCATGAAGCCGCAGGCAGCGATAGTGACGAGAAACGTTTACTAGACCCGCAGGCGACGCAGCGTCAATCCATGCACCTGGAGTCTGCAGTCTCATCCAGCTCGACAAATTCCACTAACTCGACAGGTATTGGCGGTGTGGTCGACGTGGATGTTTTCACAAGCATCAACGATGCACTCTCAGAGACAAGCTCGGGGAACGCAAGAGATTCCGAGAGTTCTAGTGGAAGGTCGTCATCAAGAGAGGAGCACCCAATGTCGTCCCAGCCATCGTCATTTAGCGGTGTTGGTCAGCGGTTGCTGAGTAAGTTCATCAAGGCCCGCAACCATCGACTACTGGGTGGACCTGGTGGTAACTGGGACAACGTGCAGTCACTGGCTCCAGCATCTGTGGACAAGTTGTTCCCATTCACCCACCTGGTCATTCGCGTCAAATTGCGGTCTGGAAAAGTCAAGCTGACCAAAGCGCTTCGACACGGTGGGTTTATCAAGGTATGCCCCGTGTTGTTTACACAGGGCATCAACGAAAAGCAAACGTTAGCGAACAACACGGGCTCTTCAGTGACAAGACTGCAGGACATCATCAACGCCACTAGCCTCAGGACGCTACGTAACTACTGCGATCGCTACTGCAATTACACATCGATGCGTCAGATGCAAGCAGCCCAGCAACAGGAGCGACAACGAGATCATTCGACTGGTTCTACACGTCCACGACCACCATCGTCGCCGAATACAGTTGTTACTCCGTCCGGTCCATCCCGTGAAAAAGTGTATCGTATCCTCGGCGAGCTGGATAAGCTGATCGGTGCGGCCGGAAGACAGGCACGAAAAAAGCGCCCGGAAATTCTGCAGCTGAGCTCAGATTTGTGTCGCTACATATCTGGTGGTCGCGTGACAGTGTGTAAATCTGCGAAGGATCGAACAGGAATGTCCGTCACGCTGGAGCAGGGTCGTATTCTTGTACAACACCACGGGCTTCGCGAGCACAAGAAAGCAGATATTGTGTCAGTCATGCGGTCTGAAGGTGTGCGTATTGAGAACGCCTTGAAAAACACGGGTCGACGTGTTTTCGCTTTCAACGCGTTGCAGCGGTCGCTGCTTCCCGAGGAGTACCGCTGTCCACCGCGAACGAGCGGCCGCAATGTGTCGTAAATCAACGACCGTCTCTCCTAATCAGAGATGAGAACACACGAAGCAGATCTTATTGACAGCTAGCTGGAAAGAGATGATTATAAGTCCCAGCTAGCATTTTGATGTAGAATTTTGATGGGGAATGGAGCAGCAAACAGCCCGCCGAATTTTTTAAGGGTTTTTGCGTGTGTCGGCGGGTTTCTCGTTCCTTCCTTTACTGCTGATACGTGTACTAGTTAAAAAAGAAAAGCCAACAAGTAATGCTAACTTACATCACATGACACGTTATCAACTCGATCCTGCCGTGGCCACTCTCATGTCATTTACTGACTGAGACTGTAGGCAAACGACGATGTCTCGACTGCTTGCTTAATAGGCAGCAGCCACGTCCAATCAGCACTCGTTGTGGGCAATAACCCCAGGTTGGAACACTTGTACACACCCATAGCAGCACCCACCAAACTCCCAGCCATATAAATAGCTTTAGGCTGCGTCAGATCAATAATCCCGTCATTCACTGAGGCAAAAGCTAGTAGAAAAACAAGTAATTGCAACAAACAAAACACAAAACACAAAACACAAAGGTGAGTCATAATGGTCAATTACTAGAATCCTTTTAGAGAGTAAAAAAAAAGAGCCTACCGTTCTTCATATTAAAGAGAGACTTGGTCGTATTCATGACAATCATGGCCGTGATCATAATACTAAAGATATTAATAGAGTTGCCACTCATCCACATCATAAACCCCGTCTGAAGTAAACTCTTAAAAGGACCCATGCCAATTTCCATGGCCCGCTATTGTGTGTATATAAAAAGTACACTATTAGCAAAGGTTTTTTGTTTTTGTTTTCAATGTGACCATCACTCGTACGTGAGAATGATTGTAGTACCTTTTTTTTCAGCTCGGACGTGTTGGTCGTGGCTTTAATGACGGTTCCAGTGGAATCCTAGAGGTTAAAAAAAGACGATACATTAGAGAAGAAGGAGAAGAGAGGAGAGGAGGGACTTGTACCTTGTTGAAAGAGACGCCTTTGATGTATCCCACAGGCTCGAGTTTGTGCGGCATGTCGCTCTCGCGACCGTCATTAAGTTGCATGTGCCATTTACGTTGCTCCATATTTTATTAATATGAAATAATGTCGAATTTGATCGTGTTCATAGGTTGCTTTAATAGTAAAGTTGCAGATACGCAACTTGTCATTTGCGAAACTTATATTATTTTGGTAATATCGTTTTTTAAAAGCAACAAATGAGTTTAAACAAAAGAAACTAAATAGAAGCGTTTAAACACCTTTAGGAAAAAACCTTTGTATGTTTATAAGGACAATCACTTGTGCGTAGTACGTTTTGTTTTGCCATCATAAACAAACACTTTATTCTTCAACAACAATCAATTCCACAGGAAGACATGACTCACTGCCACGTATTATGACTTGTTCCGTCTAACAAGAAGGAAACAACAGTCCGATTCGCATGTCCTTCTCCTTGACAAAAGAAACGCATTGCACAAATTATTACCTCTTCCTGGACACTCTCAACTTGGCCGCTGTCTTGGCATAAATTGTGCTCATCAGGTTCGAGAGATTCGAAGGTCTCTCCATCAAAAATTGTTCGTAATCATCCTCCGAGTAGAACAAATCTGCCGGATCATATGCCTCTTGAGGCAAGACCCTCACCTGTGGCTCCTCTTGAAATGACACACTCTTTTTGCGCGTCTCGAGGGTCGTATCTGTTGTCTCAGCAGGTACAACAGCGTGTCTATGATGTAACTGTGTGTCCTTCTGCTCTGCCTTTACGGTCGTCTCATTGCCAATGCTCTGATAGTAAAGTGCCGTGACCCAACGCACAATTTCCTTGCGTTGGTGGATACGTAAAGCCACAACTCTCCCCGAATCTTTCACACGAACGTACAGGCATTCATTGTCAAAGCCAAAGACGCTCTCATTAGGAGCAGCTGCCTGCATCTGAAGCTGGAGCGTGTCCAGAGGTGGCGTCTTGCGTTTGTAGTCGGTGCGACGCCAGTATAGCAACAGTGTATCGCTGAGTAGAACGCCATAGAGCCAGCGGGAGAATACTTTGGTATTTGCACTTGCACGACCTCCGGGTGTTGCTACAGAGCATGGTGATGAGGCTGATAGTGAGCGTTTGCGCTGTTTCTTACCATCCTCCTCTACGCGTACAAAGCCCATCATGAGAGACGAGAAGAAGGAGAAAGAAGAAGAAGAAGAGGTAGAACGAGGTAGAACGAAAATGACGGACGTTCTTATGCTTTGATATAGTCGCAGGGATGGGTTTAGGGTCGGGAAAATACCGGTACGAAATGCACTTGTGCCGATGGATTTCAAAGTGAGAGTGAACGACCGTTTCGTTGAAATAAATGGCTTGGTTTTAACAAAGAGATTGTTTATTGAAGTAAAGCTACTGGGAGTTGATGTCTCACATGATTTGGGGATTGTACCAAATCAATTGCAGCTGAGCGTATTTTTTGACTAATCAGTTGCGTGTCAATTGTTTGTAAAGCAGGATTCCTCCTCTTTGTCGCGTATTTCCGCTGGCATCGCCGTTACAGAAAATGAGTCCGAATGTTATGCTCCTTAAGACACGCAATACTGACTTCTGGCTACTTCTCCTCGATCAAACGTCCTTAATCTACTAAGTTAAAATGCATTTCTAGTCGTAAGAACATTAATGCTAAAAAAACTGCGAGCTGCAGAAGGAATGGCAATAAAGCTGAAGGCTCATTTACATTGGAATAATTCTAAGGAATTATTCCATTGACTCCTTAAATGAAACACTAAATGATAACGCCACCAAAATTAATCACTTGATCTCGATATAATTGTAATCTGCACCTTTTTTTAAATCACTTTGATCATTCTAATCAACCTCATACTAACCGTTCAGGTTCTGCACTGACCATGTATAGGGGCAAAATCCTGTCACGGACGTTGCGACATGGAATTATATCGTCAAAAAGCAAAGTCAAACAGTGTGCTGCAGTTTTTCTGTCCTGTTCAGCGAACGCATGCGAAAATCAAGTGATGATTGTTGAGTGCAAAAGGTCCAACGTTAGATTACCATCAACTTTTTTTGGTCGTTGGATACGGGGCCACCGAGTAAAATTACAGCTCAGACATCACATACATGTTAGTGAAAGATCATTCCTTGCACTACTTCATTGCTTCCGTGTCGTCAGTAAGATCATTCAGCGCGCTGATTTTGCAACAACATTGAGTACCAAGACAAGCTGCATTCTCGGGAAATGGCTTATGATTTGGAATAAAAAAGGAGGCGCGTGACACACCTCGTTCAGTGACTTAGTTGCTGAACGCTGAAACTTAGTAGCGCTCTACAAGGTATTCGAGCTTGAAACGATCATCTGGAGCTCAAAAGCGGCAGGCAAACGACGATATTTCTTGTCCCGCGCCACCCAGTCCATCTCAGATCGAGAGAATGCCACAAGACCAGTTTTTTTGTCTGCACAACATAATCACAATGTCACCACTAAGTATTACGCATACGATGGCATATGAGATCGCACCTGGCTTGAGAAAATATGTGTTGAACCAAACTTTGAAGTGCTTGGTCCGCATGCATCCATTGATACGCTCGCGATAACATTCGATCATGACGCAACCGCGAACCTTCTGATGCAACTCAAACTCGTTAAAGCCGATCTCTTGATGCAGTAGCATCTTAAGAGTCTCATCGGGAGTCAAATTGAAGACACGCAGTCGCAACTTGGGCAACTTTGCTGCAGTTAAGGTGTTGATTAATGTCAACTTGTGAATACAGAACATCGGTTCCACGAGAACTTTTCTAGGGACTGCAGTTTCTGCAAGCAGAGCTGAATAGTAGTTAACCCACTTCTTCTGACTCACGACCGTAAGACCCCGACGATCACGCACACGCTCACGATTATACCGATCGATCGCATCTGTCGCCGCAGCTGCGTAACCCATTCGCAACAGGAACATGCACGCCATCATTCCAGCTCTTCCTTTTCCAGCCTGATGCAGCAGTCAATGCATGTCAAAGCTTTTTCCAACACTCCATACGAAAAACAAAGCACTGAGTACCTTGCAATGGAGTGCTATAACGTGACGCTCACTCGCATCGAGCCAAGCTGCAGCTTCTTCACAGAATGTTACCCTGTAACAACAAACAAGAGGAAGAAAAAAAACTCTATCATCTTTTTTTCGATTCTTGCAATGTTCATCTCCACGTGATTAAAAAAAATCGTACATTGTTTGAAACGTCGGGACATTGTGGTCCTCAATAGGAAAATTCTTCACTCGTCCCTCAAAAATAGTTGACGAATAGCTACACCATCATAATAAAAAACATACCAATATTAATTAGAATAAAAAAAATAAACAAATAAACAAACCCTTTTTTTTCTTTGTACCTCCGTTTTGGTTCGTCACAAAAATTAAACACAAAATAATTCTCAGAGTGATGCTTTTCCAAAAACAGTTGTACCTCCGATCGTGGGTTTCGAAACAGACATTCGACTCCAATAGCCGGATACCCTGTATCACGTCACAGATTTATTTGTTTTTTAGTTTTTCGTAACAAGAAACATTATTTTTTATCACTAATCTGTTATTTTCAGTATATTTTATACCAACCCATGACAATGATCCGTGGATGCACATAACCTAGATCCAAGTCAAAACCATCCTGTTGGAAGCGACGTTTGTTCTGGGACACAAGAGCTCGCGGGACGCCAAGTACACGATGACAAGTAGAAGGACGGGGTCCCATCTTTCGACGTAAAGTAAAAAAAAAATGATATAAAAAAAATAAAGTAACGGCTATTGTATGGGAAAGTGAATGGGAATAATCTCATCTTTTCTAAGGCAATTGATTCATGTCTTGCTCTACGAGGGGGGGGGGGGGGGGGAGGTCTTCTCTCTCTTTGACATCCTAGAGTAATGCATGAAGAAATCGTGTCTGTTCAGTAGCATGTACTGATGCCATCACGAGCATCTTCAGAGTTGGTATTTGGTCCAAAACAGACTTGAGTTTTGTAAGAGCATACGTCATTTGCTGCTCTTTTGCCACCATTGTGTTGATATCGTCGGAAGAAACAAGTATTGAAGCCACTTGACGGAGCAGAAGAGCCCAGTCGTGAAAGTGTTGTTGCTGTGCTTCATTGTGGTGTTGTTGGAGTAGCCATTGCGTGAGATTGGTGGCTATTATCTCGGCCAAATCAATCCTTGCAGTGTCACATTTGGTAAAGTGCTGGACTAGTTCAATAGCTTTGAGCAACAATTCCACGGAACAAACGGACCCAGTACGACGAACGACTAGTTCCGATATGACCACAGCTTTGCTTGTAATCAAGCGGTCGTTCTTGGATTCCGAACGATGCGCTGCAATGGCAGTTTGCAAGGATGCAAATGTGTTTACTGCTTGTAGAGCTGTAGCATGTTGTTGAGCTCGGTCCAATTGACTCCAAATTCCATCGTGTAATGCTTGCTCCAGAACCATCATGAGTGGAAGCAATAACGCCAAGGAAGCTGTCTTCATTGATTTTTTCGACAATCGATCAACGTGCGTCAAAGACGCAGCTCCATGTCTCAAGAACTGTGCCGACAACCATTCGAACAATGCTGCCTTCGTTACCAGGTAAACGCCGCCTGATGGCGTACGTAGTGCTGCGAGAAGAATGTTTGCAATCAACGGCTGTGTGTGAGTATCTGCTAGTTCGGAAGTGAAGAAACTCAACAGCATTGGAAGTACGTGGCGGTGCTCAAGCAGTGTCACGTCGTCATCATTGCAAATTCCGCGACGAAGCGTGTGAAGAAGCCATGATCGCTCTTGACGGAAAGTCAAAGGTGCCCGGCTATTAAACAACGAATAGAACATTGGCACATCAGCCAAGTCCATCGCGGGACGCGCCAGCAGAAAGTGGTTGACTTGCGGGTACAACACGTGGGTTGGACGCGTCAAAACAGCAAGCGCATCATTGAGGAACACAGTAACCACCGATGGAACTTGCTCGAGGGGCTTCTTGACACCACAGCGGAAAACATCTAGCAAAAGATGCACTTGACGCCCTGCCTTGAAGTCGCTTGTAGTCTCCGTCGTAGCTTGCAAAGACTCGTGCAGATGTGCTAGAATACCAAAGGCATACTCGCGAACTCGCTCGACGTCAGAGGATGTAGCACGAATAGCTACGCCCAACAAGCCTTGCTGCACAGTGGCGCCCTCAGGCAAGTCCGATGAGGAAATAAAGTGCGATAGCATCGGCAAGAGGAACGCAGGATCGTAGCCTTCAATTGGTTGCTCATCATTCATTGACAGGGTCTGCTCGACTTTGTCAGTATAATCACCAGTATGGAGCTCTTCGTCGAGATCTAGAAGATATGCATCGCATGCAGCTGAAACATTGCGCTTTAGCGGGAAGTGCTCAATGGTAGCACGAACCCGATTTTGTTCGAGACCTCCTCCAAGGACCCAAGCTGAATCGTCTACTAAGTCGTTGTTAGAACTTTTCGATGACGCCGACGTAGCTGCTGATGGTGGAACCGTGGACGATGCACCAAAGCGAAAGCCCATGCTCACCAACGTAAGATCATCTTTCTCCAGGGCTTCAAACACTTCGAACAACACCCGCAGGCTGCGATCGAAAGGCGAAAGCGACATTGAATATGAGCTAAGTAATGTCTGCAAGAGAGAGCGAGTATAATTTCCCGTAATGCGAGCAAGTTGCGCAACCACTCGTACGATCAATAGCTGTAGTCCTTTGTTACCCACGTTCTGCAGGCTCTGTGTGAAGCATGGGTGTTGCACGATCACATCGAAGTGAGCTATAAAGTCGTAGTCGATTGCATCTACCTCCTTTCCCATTAGACGCAGCAGAGCAGCTGTCAAGCCCACCAATTCCTCAAATGCAAGCTTGTTAACGCTTTCTCGGACAGCTTCACGCATCGCAGCGAATAGAGGAAGTACCATTGTTACAGTTGACATCTGCTTCTCTTGTCCTTGTTGCTTCAGATATCCAACAACTCTCTCCACCAAAAGCATTGTCGCTTTCAATTTGTTGGGCAAGCTTTCATGGTCGCTTGGTAAACGTTTGTCGATTTCTGTCTTTAGAGCACACACAGCGCTCTTGACAAGGACTAACAGCAAACTAGCGTCAGTACTTTCGCGAATACCATTACTGCGTGATAGTAGTAGCAGAGCAAGCAGCTGTGCAGACGACAAAGTCTCAACACGTTCAGACCTCTCGAACTTCTCCACAATTGCTTGAATAGACGCACCAAATCTGTTCGCGTACACGGTCAAAGAACCATCAATAGACAGATGCCTCAGCATGGCAAGTTCTGCCGAATAACTTTCCTGTGAATCTAATAGCACACGCCGAAGACAAGTAGGGATCAACTCGTTCGAAACTTGACGTAGCGCGTCATTTGATACACGCGTGAATACATCATAAAGCGCCCCCACCAATAGACACTTCACTCGCTCATCCTTTTCACGTTGTAACCATGTCAATAACTGCTCCTCAAACACAGCTGGAAATACTGCAGCCTCGACCCCGCTTCGAATTGCTGTGACAATAGCCCGGAGCATCTCGGTACTGTGATTACCACTTGATATGAAGTGCGCACTTCGCACCACAAGTGGCACGAGAAAAGTTTCAATGGATGCCACAGCCGTCAAGACATCAATGCCACCTAGATGCCCCACTACTCTGAATCCAGTCGTCAAGAATGGTAGCTGCTGCTTTTTGCTTTGGCTCTCAAGCAGCTGCCAGAGCTTCTGTGTGAGCAACTTTGCGCGTTTGTAGTCCGCGAAAGAAGCGTACTGCTCGTTCGCATCATTACAGCCCAAAGATTTAAGTACACATTCAACGAGCACAACATTCGGCGCGTCAATCGTCATAACGCTGGCTTGGTGCAAAAGCTTATCCAGTATTGCGATACGTGCACCGGATGGCACGCGCGAAGCTAACACTGCAACGAGCGGAACCCCTGCGCGCTGAAACAGATCCTTAAAGTCGCACAGCTTTGTCAGATCCGTGTCTAGGCTGATGCTGGAACAAACTCGCAGAGCAACAATCTCCAGAGCAGATAGCTGTCGTCCCAGCTCTGAGCTCATTTTACGGGTAATCACTGCTCGAAGCTTGGAGAAAAGTCGTGTGACTACGCTGGAAGCACGAATACTGTCGCTAGAGACGATAACGATCGTCAGTAGATTCAAAAGAAGTTCGCAAAGGTGTGTGTGTTTGCTGTCTGGAAAGCCAAAGTTGTTTGACGAGAAAAAGAACAGCAGTTGTTCGCACATACGCGCTGCATCTGTTGCTGTCAACTGATGATCTTTGACTCTACTCTTCACCATGCGTTTCACCAGAGCAATCGCTGATTCCTGTTCCTCGCGATTTTTGGTCGCAATGCTGAAAAGAACATGCTGCAGGACAATATAAACTGGAACCATCTTCGTGAATATCTCTGCAGCAGTAGAAATGGACGTCTGCTTTTTTCGCTGTCTGGTTTTCGTGGCCGATGTGGTTCTCGAAAGAGTCAATAAAGAGAGGATATCCACGTCTCCCCGCCCAGACAGATAATGAAGAATAGGGTCAAAGGATTTTGCTATGTCAGCGCAGTTGCTGACGATTTGTCCCCACATTGAACAAAAGCTCGATGGTGTCATCGCTACTAATGCCGCAGTTAAGGCCTTGGGATCGCTATAGTGGTGCCACGTGTTGCTAGCTTCTTGTACCTTCTTCTTTGGTGCACCCTTGATAAAACACTTCCCTGAAACAAGCGTTTCACAAGTGGTTTTGAGCCACACGTAAGCATCATCTTCATGACCAAACTCATCGAATTCCATTGACCGCTTCCGTTTTCTCTTGCTGTAATTATCGCTGGAGGTTTCCTCTCTCGTGTCTTGTTGCAAGTTGGCCGCAGACACATCCATGTCGCGAAAATCATCGTTTCTTGCAATCAACGTGACTAGTTGGTAAGGATATTCGCTGGTTGGCATCAGTGCTAGCAAAATGCGCATAGCATAAGCTACAACACACGGGTCGGCGCGGTATGCTGACAAGTCCAATTTCCCACTGGCTCCTGTGAATGGGTTAAGAAATCCCACCAGCGCCACAGTTATTGGGCTTAGAGAAGACGAAGAAGACACGTCTGTTATCACGCGGCTACCAATTGCAACAAACATGAGTGGATCAGCCATCACAGCACGCACGAGCTGTTCCGTAAACTCAGCGCAGCTTTTGCCTCCACCCTGACCCAAACTTTCGAGCCAAATTGTTACCTCTTCATTCGCACGCCCGCTAGCAGTTTGCAATTCTCCATGCGTTGCTAGCCCAAAAATGTCTGATGCAAGCAAAGTCCGATGAAGCACTTGTCCTGCAAGATTTTGCACGACACGACTCGGCGTTGAAACGTACATCAGCAACATCTGCTGGAGCTTCGAGCGATGGCCAGAGCTACCACTAGTAAGAAGAAACCGCAAGCGAGAAGCATCCACAGCGAGCAAAAAGCGCAAGATTTCACCAACGATCAAGCTCTGCATAGGTAGCGGCATGACGCTTTCAGCACTACCATCAACGGGGCAATTCAAGTAATGCCATCTCAGAGTCTTTGTAAAATCAACCTTCACCTCACGCATAGCTTGAGGAAGGCACTCCAAATAGAGACGAGAGACTGTGAGCGCGCGGACGTACACAAGTGCAATGCTTCGCTTTTGTGAGGCACATAATTTGAGCAGCAATGAGACAAGCACTTCCGGACTCGGAAGAAGGAAGCGTAGCTCCGATTGCACTTCTGAAGCAAGATCCAACGATTCCAACGACGGGGCTATGCGGACATAACGATTCAGCAGTGCCTCAATTACACCCAGGGACGAATAGATCACAAGGTTGTTGCTGTGCTGGATGCTACGCGAGAGCTCTTTGCGGAAGTTACCTGGAGCAATAAGTCGTGACGCTAATGTCTGTGCAGAGCACCACGAAGAGAGCGTATCTCGATTCTTGACAGGCATTCCCACACTTACCGCATCCAAAGAACAGGACAGTAATTTCTGCACCAATGAAGCCACGCAAAACCAGCGGTAGACTGGTTTCGGTTCAAGCTGAATTGACAGCGCAGCGAGATACTCTGAAAGAAAGCCTGGGTACTTGGCAAGAAACTGCATCACAAGCGTCTGAGCTTGTGTGCTTTGCAAAAGCTCGTTCACACCAATTGTCGCAACAGCATGACGGATCACCTTGAGTGCGTACGCCTGTTCCGACGTGATCGCGTCCTCGTCACTTTGCGAACTCGCCGATTTTGCCAAAAAAAGTCGTAGTGCGTGCTTCGGCGGTACCACATACAGTGCACTATCTTCAAAAAAGAGTGCGTTCAGCACTTCCAGCACTGTTTCCCGCACCTTCTCATCGTCCTCTACTCGCAGTAGCGCCAGCAATTGATGCACACAAGTGCCATTATACACAACCAATTTGTTCTTATGGTCCACCTCGTGGCTATACAGCACCACGTCCCCCAGTTTCTTGAAAATTCTCGCCAACATCTCAGCTGAATCTCCATCCATGCTCTTGAACAACGACACAGTCAACCCTCCTTCCTTCATCGCAAAGCGATGAACACTTTTATCCGGACACGCCATCAGTGCCAGCACGAGATCCACGTACGCCGCTCGTAGCTGAAATGGTGCCTCTTTTATCTCCTCTTCTTTCTCTTCCACTGACTCTAACTTCTTCCATCTTCTAGTAGCCAACTGGACAAATGCTGGACACTGAAAGTTAAAAAGTCGCACGAGCTCTCGTGCTGCCACGCCACTGACCTTCACAACTGCAGCCAATAGCTCTAGAGCTCGAAGTATAATCACTGGCTTGTCACTCCAGCTCAAGAGCTTTTCCAATTGCGACGCCTTCTCCCGAACAATTCGAAGTGCAAAAGCTTCAGCTTGGACGACATTCAGCTGTTGTTGTGCTTGCAATAGGTGCGTCACGACGTGCAAAAACGTTGCAAAACTGTCACGCTTTTCATAGCGATTGCCAACGCCGTGCTGTGCCGGCCACACACGTAATAACAATTCTCCTTGAGGATGAAGAGCTAAAAACTGATGACACAGAGACGAACTGTCATTGGTAGAGAGAGGTCGAGATGTTGATATAGCAGTAGATGGAGACAATAGTAAAGAGCAAGAAAAGGACACAATTGCATCATCTAAAGGCTGACGATCTCGCTCCGTTGCCAGCACAAACTCACGTAACGTCGTCATTGCCTTGTCCAGTTAATTGACTGGTTGTGGTTCGTTTAAGTGATTATAGTACATGGGTACAAGTATTTGCCACATGGATACATAAATTGTATACATGGATACATAGAATGCTTACATGGGTACAAGAATTGTATATATGGATACACTTGTTGTACTTGTAAGGAGTTCAAGTACTTTGTTCAAGATGTTTGCTAATGTTGAAAATCTGTCGATGACTTTGGACGATATACTTGAAATGTAAAGAGACTTCATACTCCATTTTACGGTACACTTTGTACACGTGGTGGATCATAGAAGACATTGTCGGGACTCAAAAGTAAGAAATCTTGTAATCTCGATTTGGCTTTCGGAACTGCAGGAAAATATTCGGGCGAAAGTTGATTCTTGCCAGCTTCGATCCGGAACTCGACTACACTCGTCTCATTTTTTCTGTAAGCATGACGATACTTATGCCATCCCCATGGACATCGACGTAGAAAGCGCCGAAAAGTATCCTGCAGGCCCTTCTCTATCAACTCGTAGAATTTCAGCTCTCGAGGTGACTGTCTTAGCGTATCAATGATGTCATCCACAGGTATGAAGCACCAGCGAACGCACTTGTACAGACGAATGATATCTTTCCGACGGCCATTGAACTCGCGGGGTTCTTGATGTAAACTCCCGAGATAGCTGAAGTTTTTGCCAAAAAACAATTTGTTGAGACATCGTAGCAAAGTCCGTTCTCCATCGGGAATGCGCAAGCCGTCGCTGCGCAACACAAGCTCCAGAGTCTCTAACGGCAATCGCTGCATCTCGGAAACGATAACCAGATCCGAGATTTCTGTCGGTGTGTTGTCCGGAGCCGAGTAGAAGAGTGTTGTTTGGAGCAAAAAGTGGTACATGCTGCATACGGGATCGCCCCAGATGAAAAATTTGCCACGAAACTTTGCCTTCCCCATACATTCAGACTGATGTGCGGCAGTTGTAACATCAGGGGCTAAGGTTGAAGGAGTCGGAGGTACAAGATCACACCACTGACTATATTGCTTGCAGCAGTGGTGATACTGAATCACCACCTCTTGTGAAACCTTTGCTTGGTTTGGGTAAGCACGGCAATATTTGACTTTCATTTGCCCTTGTATCCTGAACTGGGGTTCGCCCTCAAGAGATGCAGGGTCGTCCGGGTCAGAGCTTAGTAGCTGTGGTGACGAAGATCTAATGATTCGCCACAAAATAGGCATTTCGTTCGTGATATCAATCCGCACTTGGAGCTGAAACTTTCCAAATTGAAGCAGCGTGAAAAGCTTTTTTTCACCAGCTTTCGCAAAAAGTTCAACGGGTTTTTGCTCCAAATACGGTTTCCATTCTGGTGCAAAGTGCCGATGAATAACACGTAGTGACGGCACCTGTACAGATTGAAATTGATTACTCAACCATTGACTCAACGCATCCAGTAGATTTCGCCAAAATCCCACCAGTCTGACGATATTCATCAGACCCACCACAGCACGAACAAGAACATCATGATCCTTCAGTCTCTTGAGATGCACACATCGCATATTTCTTAAAGCGTCCAAGTGTTGTTCAGGTTTCAGTGACTTCATAAAAGCCAGTAAATAGTCACACAGAATTTGACGCTCCTTCTTATTCTCTAGCGTGGAAACTATCAGCAGCATGTCGATCCACGTAGCCGTCGTAACATGTCGAATCGCAATGACCAAGCAATAGTAGAGCATCGAGCACCGCATGCCCAGCTTTTGTCCCAATTTGACCGCTTCCATTGCATTGTGCTCGTCAATCATCCTGACTTTACGTCTGTAAATGTACTCGACGGCTGTCACGACAGCTCCAATGTTTGTATCTTTAATCTCGACGTGCATCATGGATCGGTCGTGCTCCAGTTCTTGTTGCCGTCTGGCAAGTGTCGTCGGGTTCAACTCATTGCATAAACTCCGTACACGCCGTGACTTTTGTATGACGTTTTGTCCACTTGACATCTGCTTCTTGTCCGGCACAGAGAATTCTTGTCGCAGTCTTTTCTTTCTGGAAGGAAGCACAGGACTGGTCTGGAAACATTGTCCAGCTGTAGTGTCATCACTAATCTCTCCACTACGACACGTGTGAGCCACGCAATATACATAATCCAACCGTAATGAGTGCGGATCATGCAATGGACAGGTTGAAAATGAACGATCCTTCTCATTGTGCTTGAGTTGCTGGAGCTCCTCGTCGTCAAGTAACTTGAACCCATTTGATGCATCGAATGAGTGTCGAAGCTGAAGCAGCTGCTTATAGAGCCATGGGCAGCGTCGTTGGAGAACTGACAGATGAAGAGCAATTGCACATCCATCGGAATGAAAAATCACGTCAGGTGGTTCGCTCTCGAGGGACGAAATGGATGACAACGGTTTATTCGTCTTGTTGCATGACTTTTGAGCTGCAGCACGAGATTGAGACGAGCTAGTGGATACGGAGAGATATGAAGTCATCGAATGGGCGCTTGTATAGATACTCGAGGGTTCCAGTGTGTCCAGTAGCAGCACTTGACGCTCCTTGTCGACCATTGTTGACAAATATGGGTACCAACAATGTGCTTACTAGATTGATAAATAGAAAATGAAAGGCGCTATTGATCCCCCACTTTCTTGCTAAAGCCCCCCCCCCCAATTTTAATCATAATCTGATTGGTTTAGTCCGTGGAGCGGGAGCTTGCTCCGAGTGTTGCTAGAATTTATGGGTGCACTATCGTCGACCAGCTCATTTGAGTTCTCCCGTATCCACGAGAGTCCAGCTAGACGTAAGCGCGTATATACAAGTCTCCGTCTTGAGCTTGCATGTTTTGGTACGCTGCTCGCAAACTCTTTGTCGTGGTTTTGAGCAGCCTTTCGACTTAGAACTTCTGCATCGAGTCACAAAGCGTCTTGCCAATATCATGCTGCACAGCATTTGCAAAAAAGCGTGTGCCAACAGTTGCGTCAAGTGTGCACGCGTTTGATCGTCTCGCATTATCTGCCCAACAGCAGCAGCAACGCCTGTTGTGCTTGCGGGTTCACTCAGTACTGTCGATTGCAGCAAGTCCCAGCCTGCCTCAACGTCTTGGGACCTCCGTGTTAGACGATGATGTTTCTGACAGGTCGTCGCGATTCTGAGGTTCAAGTGCAAGACCCATGGCAGATAAGGTCCGACTTCACCAAATTGGCTGTTTTGCGACAACTTGACATATGGGACATGGTAATACTGTAACGGACCGATCGTTACACGAGTCCGTTATGTATATGATACTTAACGAGGAGGTCTAAAGTGGATCTGTGTGGGTCGTGGTGTTGTTTGTGAGGAAGCTAGGGTTGTGGTATGTATACAGTGGTCAATTGACCGAGCGGTCTAAGGCGCCAGTTTTAGGCACTGGTCCGAAAGGGCGTGGGTACGAATCCCACATTGGCACAACCCCTTCTTTGGATTATCGCCTACACCAGCATTTCTTCTTTCATGCGAAGCGCACGCGGTGCACTCGCCTGTGCTGTTTCAGCCAGACCGTTGCACCAACTACTGACTACTCGCTCAACGGCCGGCGACAACAACTATTTTTGATGCCAACCTTTGTCAAGTTCACGTTGCTGTACGACAAGGCTGTTCACAGGTATGAATCACTTCGACTGCGTCTTCATCTTAGTGCGCGGACGCTTCGACGCCGACCCACTTACACCACCGCACGCTGAGATAAGACGATCTAACCTCTTCCTCGCTCGTGCGAAGGTGTGTTTTTGCCAGCGTAGCACGTGGCAGCATCGTTCGAAGCGCCCGTCTACACTTCGTAGCACTAGTAGTCCTTCCCACGACCCGTCTCTCTGAGACTGCGTGAGTACGAATGGTCCTCAATATGGATTGGGGTGATTTTCTTCGCCAATCCCAACATCATAGGGAGTTGGTAGAGCATTTGGCGCAGGGACTTGGTGAACAAGCTCTGGACAATCTCTTGCACTGTCCTCATGGACAACATGTTGCTCAGTTGGAGCAATTAGAGGCGTTTGTGCTCGTTCAGCGTAGAAATGCGTCCGAGGCAAACAGCCAAACCACGGCTGAGTCCATCAGCAAAATTCAGGATGAGCTTTTGCGTGAGCAATCTCGGAATAGCGCTCTTAACAGAACTGTTGAGACGCTCTCTGCACGATCTGATCAGCCAAGGCCCATTCGAATGGACCCTCCGAAGTTTGATGGGATTGCCCCACATACGATTGTCCACTGGCTTACAGCCGTGGATTAATGCGGTATGGCGCAGCTCATCGAAGACGACATCAGGATGGTGTCGTATGCCATGTCAAATTTGCGTGGCAAAGCGTCAAGTAGGCTTACTCTGCGCTTATGGCAAACGCTGATGCATTTCCATAATGGACGATATTAAAGTCAAAGATTCGTGCCATGTACCAGCCGCCTAACAACGAAGTGTTGCTTATGGTGCGCTTCTTTGGAGCACGACAGGAGAAACGCGCTCTGCAAGAATTTGTGCAGGAGATGCGTTCGCTGTCGGCGTCCATCAATCTGGAACCGATACCGGAACGTATCAAGGTGGCCACGTTCATGAATGGACTTAGGTACGGCCCATCGAGTCAGGCCCTTTTTTCAGAAAGGTGCCAGCGACGATGGAAGAGGCAAGTGATATTGCCTTGGTTGAGGAGAAATTTTACAACAGCGCCTCGGCGACAGCTTATTACAGGCCTTCGACCGAAAAGTGGGATGCCACTTCTACGGAGATAAGCAATGCAGGTGTTATCTGCTACAAGTGCGGCAAGCGAGGCCATATGATGGCTCGCTGATATGCCAAAGTTGCTGCTGGTGCTAAGACGACCAGCAAGAAAGCTCATTACCCAAAGGGAGGTGCGATAAACCAGCGTGCACGACGCACGGATTCAGCACCTACCCTAGATGGGTCGAGAAATGTGGAAGTGCAGAAGGGGTGGGATGTCCTACTGTCGCGGACTCTGAAGATACCCCTAGGCTCAGAGTGATCGAGTAAATGGGTAGTATAGTCCCTGAGGTTCCGAAAGGTCGGACCTCAACCCTTTTGGTCTATAGCGCTCAAGTACGAGACTATATCCCTTCTCGTGGATTCGGGTGCATCACAGAATTTTGTGAAACTCGCGGCTCTGAAAAAGAGTCCGGCGAGTTATGAGTCGCTTTTCCAGGATGGCAAGCGAGAAGAGGCGATCATTTATGTATCGAACGGTTCGCTTTTTAAATCGGAGGGAGTTTAAGTTGAACTTGCCTTCAGCTTTAGTGACTTCTCTTGTAAATAGAAGATCACAGTGCTAGGTATGAAGAGTCCGTATGACCTCATCCTAGGCATGCCTTGGTTGACTAAACACCAATTATGGATAGACTGGCGTACACGCACAGTCGCTAGCTCTACGCAAGACACTGGAAAGTATGTGCTCTTGCGAGAGCCTTATGTGGCTGATGCTGTGTCCAACATAGTCGAGGGTGCGATGATGGCATGTCAATCGGCACCAGGAGCTACACAGCTCGAAAAGAGTGGTGTAGTTGGAAGTGCCCTGGCAGAAAGCCAGGTGACACACATTCCTACCCAGGTCGAAAAGACTGGTGTAGTGAATGGGGCGATGACAGGTAGTCATGCTTCCAATAGTCCTGCACAGAGCCGAGAGCCTGTGGCAGTTGATGGTGAGCTGACAGCAAGTCAAGCGCCACAAGAACCGTCACAGAGCCGTGAGACTGGTGTGGTTGGAAGGCGTGCGTTAGCTGAGATAGCAACGACGCCTTCTTCCAGGTAAAAGGTCGTGGTGACTAGAAGAACGAGCACCATACATATTAAGACGATCAAGGGCACGTCGAACGAGTGACCCTTGGATCAGTCTCGGTCCAAGAGGACGGACCTACGAACGATTTGTTCCAGGCCGTCGAAGACAAAATGCCAAGGCATCCTCAGTTGAGGTGCTCCAACTTGGCTTGGCATCTGCCGAGTAGATAGTAAATCTCTCGGAGATGACGTGGGATCTGTTCCTGTCCAAAACAAAGGAAGGAGATAATCGCACCAGTTCCAGAAGGGTACGTACGTGGTGGACTGTTTCTTATCGTCCACGATGGACGAGAGAGTTTTAGAAACCGACAAGAAAAAACGGTTTGCAGCTCAAGGCTGGGAAGCCTTGAAGGACAGCCCGCTCTATGATGTTCTGTGGAAACACCGTGATATGTTTCCAGCAGAAATGCCGAGCCGCTTACCGGCTGATAGGGGCATCAGGTACGAGATTGACCTGGAGCCTGGCACCAAGTATTGTGTGACCAGAAAATGGCCGTTGCCGAAGGACCAAGTCGATTACATCGATGAGTTCTTCGACAAGCGAGCCAAGGTGGGACATGTACTTGAGAAAAAGTCGCCCCACTGCAGCCCGACCTTCTTGATACGACGTACGGTGGATTATCTGGGTCATCACGTTTCACTTGCAGGGTAAGAAGCACACCCAAATGATTTAGGATCGCTTGGAAACATGTAGACGGGCACTCTCTGTAGAGGCTGCATCGTGCTACGCTAGTACACACTTTCAAGCACGCGAGGAAGCGGTAAAACCGTCTAACCTCCGTGTGTGGTAGTGAGGTGGATGTTCGACCGTTTAAGCGGTCGAACATCACTAATGGTTGCTGGTAGCCGAAGGGATTGGCGCAACGAATTTTAAACAAGAACTTACCTTCATCACGCAGATGCTGTAAACAGCTTATCGGGCATATCGGGGCAGTGAGCGTTAGTAAGCAAATTTAAGACTGATTCATCTCTACTAGAATTTAACTAAATATAAATCTTACTACTCATTGTTTAATGTGCAATGATGGATGCTATCGATGTAGAAACGTGTCCTAGGTGTGAGCTTAACTATATTTAAGCTCGCTGATGACGTACGTCTGTGATGTCCTCATGATGCCTAATCTCACCTGGGCGTCGTCCCCGTCAAATGTGAATCCATCAATAGATACATATCACATTCAAGAGAAGTGGGTCACATTGATTTGTCTTACCCAACTACCCAACACGTACCCTTTTAGACCTCCCCGTCAAGCATCATATGCTTAATGTATCATATACTTGACGGACTCGTGTAACCATTGGCCCGTTCCACCATTACCTTTTTAAAACGATTTTTCATTTTTGTAATACATCGCAAAGTATAGATGCCACCGAAACGTGGTCAGGCTGATGGGTCGCCTGCAAAGGCGCCCATGCAGACAAATAAAAACATACGCACCGAACTAACTCGTAGACGTCTTTAAGTGTCTCTGTGACAGCTCCGACATCTAATTTCAGCTTGTTAGCAAAGAACACTGGTCCATCCCCATGTGCTAATGAAGATTTGTCTCTCAGTGTACATTACGATGAGAGCACGCCATTTCCATCACCTCAAAGTGGTGATGAACACAGTGTGTTGATGAGGACATATGTCTCCATCACTAGAGGCGTTCAACCTTGAGGAAGCTTCCGTACTTCCTGAAAGTGAGGTTTATGCCTCGTCTTCTGTGCCAATGAGCGTAGCGACCTATACCGAGCGCGATGCCTCAAAAGAAA